AGGCGTGGCATCTGCACAATGGAAAGTTGCTTTTGTCGTCTGAGCCGCCGCCGCCAAGCTTTGGGATGCCAGATCTTTGGGCCAGTTAATGAGATCTAAAGGAAGGGGTATGCTTGGCTACAACCGCACACTGTGTGTGTGCAAATAGCCAGCCGGGGATTGGACGTCCCCAAAAACAGCCTCCTGTTATTTTTATTTACCGTCTTCCGTCCCTGAACCCTTCCCCTCCTTTCGAAGAGAAATTTTTATGGAGATGAGAAAGCAAGCGTGTCCGGCATTTACCACATGGATCGTGATTCATGCGCCCACATGTGCAGGTGACCTCGTTCTCTCGGCAGTGTTCTTGTCCCTTTTTGCCTGCCCCTATTGTCTCTTTTTCCCGAGGTAGCAGCGCCAGTTTCGTCAATGACGGCGGTGTGTAAGACGATGAGGGATGAATGACGAAGGATGGAGCATGTCAGAGACACGGGAACGGCAACGAGATGCCTAGCTTTTTAAGTTTGGGTGTTAGAGGCAATGACAGCATGGTTCGTGTGCGGGGGAAATACTATCGAACTCAGGGCGGCGTGGTGGAAGAGGCGGGACGACAGACGACGGATGGAGGGGTAAAGTCCCTCCTTCTGGGCAATGACATCAGACTTTGGCTGGAGTTTCTTTTTGGGGAATTCGGATGGAGCATTTGGAGCCTTGGAGGCAGCAAACCCATCCACCCGCAAAAAAAAGTGTCACGAGTACAATTCAGTTACAGGACCGAGTCAGCAGACTGGCCCGGTTTAGGTGAGTGAGAGTGTGGAGTGTCGTATTGATTAGGTGCACAATACAGGCCTTGCTGTGTTTTTTTGGGCTCTGCACAACAGAACAGAGCGGAAAGAGGGGAGGCTGGGCTGGGGGGAAGAAGATGTTGGGCGGGTGAAGCGAAGCTGACTGCGATTCCCCTTCAATTGGGGACAACCCATGGCCTTTTTTCGCTTTTGTTGGCCATGTGAGCTGGACGGTCTAGGTGCCGTCCCGGAGCAGAACAGCCGTGCGAACGAAATGTCATTCAGGACACTCAGGAAGAGGCGGCACCAGGACACCAGGGCACGGAGCAGCAGCCACTCAACGAGGATTCTCCTTTTTTATAAGAGGAGAAAAAAATTCCACGATGGAAAGGTACTATGTAAAATTTCTGCATTCCGAATTCCGACGGCCCTCGAGCTAAGGGCGCATTGAGCGTGAACTTGCAGAGGGAAATTCCAGCTAAGGCGCCTTACCAGACAGATCTTTGGCCTCGGCCCAAGGCCTAGCGCCGTCCAGCATGCAAGCCCACCGGCCCTTCGCGCGTGCACCAGGGCTGGCCGTTCTCATATCGATGCCGGCATTCCTCCTTTTAGTGTAGTAGGTGGCCTTATCTGCGGCTTAAGGCGGCCAGTACAGTGAGCGCACAGCGACGCATGGCCCGGGCCAGGGGCTGCCATTGGGGGGATGCGCCGCTCATGGCGTTCTCCCCAATGTCCACCTTCACATGATCCGCGGCAGATTTTATGTACCTTGTCCGTTTGCTAGGTACCGTACTTATACTCTTTACCCAGCCAGCAAACGTGGGCGAGCTGGCCCTGTCGCGCTTGTACCAAAACCGCCTAGCCACGGGCACTCTGGTACCTCTCTGCCGCCGTTTTGCAGTGAGCCAGAGAGCCCCAGGGAGCATTCAAGGGCGTCTTAGCTTGTTGGGCTGGTCCAACAAGCAGGGGTGCACTGCTGCTTCTCCCCTGTCCGCTGCCCGCCAGGTCCTTCTGCTTCCCGCTCGTATCGTCCATCAACCGACCTTACCTGTGCCAATATTCCGCCCCATTCGTTCGTCGCTTTCCTTACACCTTCGTCATCTTTACACCACTTCAACCCCGAACCCTCCCGCCTACTGTCTGGTCTCTACAGCTGAGCGAAACCCACGATACAAGAGACCAGGAGGCTGTTGCACATCGCATCGTATCTTTCACAACGTCTGCCTTCCTGGCTCTGCGATCGCACACCCGCGCCGTATCCAAGACTCCTCCCCGTTGCAAGGGCGTAGCTCCATAGTCACCATGCAGTACGTTCGCAACCTCAGCGCCTCCGTCTCCTCGACATGGAACTCCATCAACCCGGCCACTCTGAGTGGCGCCATCGACGTGATTGTCGTTGAGCAAGAAGACGGCACCCTGGCTTGCTCGCCTTTCCACGTCCGCTTTGGAAAGTTCTCCCTCCTTCGGCCCTATGAGAAGAAGGTCGAGTTCAAGGTCAACGGCGTCAAGCAGAACTACTCCATGAAACTTGGAGAGGAAGGAGAGGCTTTCTTCGTCTTCGAAACCAGCGACACCATCCCCAGGGATCTACAAACCTCGCCTTTGGTATCCCCAGCATCGAGCCCTCCCCTGAACCCTGAGAACCCCTCGTCCTCCGAACTGGGCGAACCGGATCTGTTGGACCTGGACTCCGAAGAGAGGCGACCTAAGCGTCCTCCTCCTTCAGTCATCCACAGCGCAACTCTCCCTCGGGACCACGGTTGGTCTCTTGCCCGTCCTCTGGTGACCCCAGGCGCACATTCAGAAGCTAATAGTTCCAGGCATTCTTACCCCGTTATCCACATCACCAGACCTCACCCAAGGACGACCGAGATCAGACGACTGGAACCTCCGTCCCTATAGCGACGATGTGTTGCGCAAGTCGGCTCGTACCAGTGACCGTGAGTACGGCGAAAGCTCTGCTGATTTTGCCATGTCCGAGAGATCGCAGAGTCCTCCACCTCTGGCAGCGAAGGATGCTGTCGAGCGGGCGCGCATGCTCTCCAAGGAGCTTTCCGCCAACAACATTCCCACTCGCGTGACTGAAACGGGTGACCTCATGCTTGACATGACCGGTTTCAAGAGCAACGAGGAGGATATTTTCCGTGCTGAGATCCTTGCACGCAAGATCTTGTCTGAAGAGCTTGAAGGCAACTACGATATTGGTTCCCTTTTTGGTATGGACGAACATGGAAACATCTGGATCTACAGCAGCGAGGAGGCGAAAGAGGCAGCCAAGAAGAAGACTATGGAGGCAGGTTACCGGCCAACGGCCATCGCAGCTGATGCTGCGTCCGACCCGGGATACCAGAGCGACGGTAGCGATGTGACGACTACAGCGCCTACTCCGATCCACAGGAGAACTGAGTCGGATGTCGGCGCCTCTGGCATGCAGACTCCCCCGACCACTCCGCCTCAATCGTCAGCCGGAGACCCAAACCTGAACTACGCCAAGACGCTGCGGTTGACTAGCGATCAGCTGAAGGCGTTGTGCTTGAAGCCCGGCGAGAACAGTATGAGCTTCACAGTCAACAGAGCGACGTGTAATGCCAACATGTACCTGTGGAGACATGAGGTGCCTGTTGTCATCTCGGATATCGACGGCACCATCACCAAGTCGGATGCGCTGGGTCATGTTTTGAACATGATTGGCAGGGACTGGACGCACGCTGGTGTTGCCAAACTCTACAGCGACATTGTCGCAAACGGCTACAACATCATGTACCTAACTAGTCGATCAGTGGGACAGTCCGATACCACCAGAGCATACTTGGCTGGCATTCAGCAGGGAGAATACCGGGTTCCGCGCGGGCCAACAATTTTGTCCCCGGACCGGACTATGGCTGCACTCCGTCGTGAGGTGTACCTCCGGAAGCCCGAGGTATTCAAGATGGCTACCCTTCGTGACATTCGTCACTTGTACGGTCGGGAACAGACGCCATTCTACGCTGGATTTGGCAACCGTTTGACGGACCAAATTTCGTACAGAACAGTGGATGTTCCGAGGAACCGCATCTTCACGATCAACTCCAATGCCGAGGTTTCTCTTGATCTGCTGAGCTTGAACAAGCTCAAGTTGAGCTACATCAACATCAACGAGGTTGTCGACCACTTCTTCCCACCTGTTAGCACTCTCGTTAAGGGTGGTGGAGAAGAGTACACAGATTTCAAGTACTGGAGGGATACTCCACTGGAGTTGGATGAATTCTCAGCAAGCGACTCTGATGATGAGCAGGCCGACCTAGAAGAAGACGCCGACGAGGATGACGAAGACATCGGTGACGAGATGGGCCAAAGCTACATCTCGAGAGGCTCCATTGATGAATACGGTGACGAGCGAGAGAGCATCCTCAGCGGAAGCGTCGACGGCGACGAGCGGATGACGGCCTCCATGATGGAGGACGAGTACGCTGACGACGAAGACGCCGAAGACGAAGATGAAGAGGACGATGACGTTGACGAAGCGGACCTCGATAGCGTGCGAGCGCAGCGCGAGCGAACACCTCAGCCCAGCGGCAAGGAAAACCAGTCTTCCCCACCCACCCAAAAGGTGCTTATGGAAGACGTCGGCGCTGAGTTGATCACAGGGGTAAATCATCTCACCCTTGAAAAAGGTGTGCAGAAATAGTGTGCTAAAAAGGAGGAACAGGCCGCGGTGTATAACCCTAATGTTACTTCTACAGGTGCGAACTAATATTGCGATTCGAACTTCTGTACTATTACCGGGGGCTTTTCGAAGAGCGGTTTGGGGAACAACAGCATGGTTGGTTGGATGGATTCGCGGACGGGCATTACTTTGCATAGCGGAAGGCGTTTGAATTGGTGCTTTTACTGTAGTGTTTCCTGAATTGACACTACCTTTTCCCACCTCCGCGATCACAAGCTCTGGACCAAATGTGTGGAATTGTGGATGCTCTGCTTTATTTTGATTCCTATTTTAATCTGATGCCAACGCAGGCCCCGACTCCTCTGGGGTTTGTGTTCCAAATGCTAAGTAATAGCCGTGTTTGCCCAAAGCTCCACGGCACCTCTCCTTTCCCCAAGCCTGGACGCGCAGGTGCATCCACATCGGCTAGTTTCCATTGACTGGCAGTGGATTGCGTGATGCAAAAGCCACTGCGCCTGGAGTCCATACTCATGCCAAAGTTCGGACTAAGGGCGCGATCATGTGCGAGATGTGTGTTGTGATCGGTACCCTTTCTAAGACGTCCCTCCCATGTCCGCATCTTCGTTCACGTCCTTGCCAAACACATCCTCCATCGTGCCTCCCTCGACGCCGTCTCCGCCAATATCCTCATCCGCAGCGTCGTTCTGGTTGTTCGTCGTCTCTACGCCCTCCATGGCACCGCCTGCACCAGCATCTTCCTCTTCCTCTTCGTCGTCCTCGATGCCGGCCTCCTCCCAAACATCTTTCAGGCCCCAGCTGACGCCGCTGAGCACGAAGCGCTCGCTCGGCAGCCTCAGGCCCCACTCGTTCTGCGCGACCTTGGGCAGCTGGACCTTGTTCCGCTCGCGGGCGAGCTCCTGCAGCCAGTCCTTGGACACGCCTCCCGCGCCGCCGCCCCCGCGGAACTGGTATCCCAAGCGCGCCGAGATGGCGAGCTTGACTGCGTTGGCGGTCACGGCAGCGTCACCCGTGCCGGCGGCCGCCGCCGCGGCACCGGCCGTCGGCTTGGAGCCGGCCTGGGCGACGTAGGGGTCCCCGGAGAGGTAGATTGCGTCGCCGAGGATGCTCGAGGTGTGGCGGTAGGCGAAGTCGAGGAGGAGGAGGGGCACGCGGGCCTCGTACGAGGTGACGCCCTGGGAGGTGAGGAGGAGCTCGATCATGCGCGAATCGCGCGGGCGCGGGGCCGATGCGTTGCTCCCGAGGGGATTTGATGAAGATGACTGCTGCTGGTGTTGCTGTTGCTGCTGCTGTGCGTTTTGGTTGCTTGGTTGTTGCGATTGCGCCTGTGTGGTGGATTGGGTCGGTTGGGACTGGGAGGGCGGCTGCGAGCCTGTCGTCGCTGCGGTCGCTTGGGTGTTGTTCACGGTTTGTGAGCCGGAGGCGCCTGAGGAGGCTGGCACGCCGTTCGTTTGCGGGTCGGATGATTGTGAAGCCATGCTGGCGATGCTGCCTGGCAGCGACGGCAGAGAGACGGTGAGATGGTGTCGACTCTTGCGACGGGCCGGGGTTTGATGGATGTGGACGTCGACGCGTTGAGGTCCTTCCGTTCTGATGAATGTGAAAATCGGATTCGTAGTAAAGTAGGGCGATCTGAAATGTGAAGAAAGTTGCGATTGGATGGCCTCGTTTGAATTAGTATATGTCAAGGTGAATGAATAGTCGTTAGGGTCGATAAGGTAGTCGCGGTTGGGTCGCTCGTGGAAAGAGCCGCCCACAAGGCTCAGCTCAGCGCGTTCGTTAGCCGTTTCCGCGCTATGGAGTCTGCTACAGCTCTCGTCAACTGCTGCCCGGGGTTGTCGGCGGCGCGAGGATTGATCCGCTCCGTGTCTTCTTTTCTCAAGCGCACTGACCATAGCTTAATCCCACATTGGACAGGGGGTCTCAACGGGCAAATCGGCTGGGCGTGGATTGGATGACCTTCAACACAGGGCAGACTTCCATGCATGGAGGGGCAATTTGCATTGCTGCCCCACCATAACACCCGCCCACGCCGATGCAGGACCACCCCGACGCTGGAGTGGTGGTGTCACACTCTGAGGATTTTTACTTTTAGCGGCGGGCCTTCCCTGAATTGAGTCACCAACGAGAGGATCTTATAGAGTGACATTCCACTTTCCCAATCCATTGACTCGGGCTACTCTTCAACCACACTTCCCGTGTCCTTGAATTTCCTTATCCGTTTGCTTCCCTGCATGTGAGAAACCCCTCACCAGATCAGAAAGCACCTGCCCGCCATGGAGACGACACTGCCTTTTCCTTTCCTTATCAGCGTGGCCGTCCCGCCCGGTCTAGCAAACCTGGACGGCCTCGACCGCGAACAAGTCTCGGTGCTCGGAGCCCCTTTCTTCGAGGCCAATGACCAGACCCTGGAAAAGTTCCACCGCTTCCTGAAGCAGCACAACGCAGAGTTCCGCGGTTACTTTGACGTCACCGGCATCACCTCGAGAGACGACGTTGTCTCTCTCCTCGATGCCGGAGCCCGCATGGTCTTTGTCGCCCCGGAGAACCTCTCTCAGTATGAGGAGTTCGGATCCAGGGTGGGCTCCGTCCTCAAGACCGCCGACGTCTCTACTTCGGCCGCCTCCAAGCACGCCGTCCTCGTCAAGGACTTTGATTCGACAGTGTGCGACCTCGGCGCCTTCATTGAGCGCTGCAAAGTGGAAAAGCTGCCCAACCTTTTCCTTAAGCCGGTTCCGGAGACTACCCTGGAGCACTTTGTCGACATTGCCAAGCAGTGCAATGCCATCCCCGTCTTGCCTTCAGACGGCCTGACTGCTGCCAAGGAGGACGCGAAGAAGCTTTCTCTCTCCAAGCTGATTTCTTCATTCTGGAAGTCGGATAGGCCTGATGGTCTGATCCCAACCGTTGTGTGCGATGAATCGGGCACCGCCCTGGGACTTGCTTACAGCAGCGCCGAGAGCGTTGGCGAGGCCGTTCGCACACGAACCGGCATCTACCAGAGCCGCAAGCGTGGTCTCTGGGTGAAGGGCGCTACGTCTGGGGATACTCAGGAGCTGGTCCGCATTGGCCTCGACTGCGACAACGATACCCTCAAGTTTGTTGTTAAGCAAACCGGCCGTTTCTGCCACCTGGACCAGCACGGCTGCTTTGGCGACCTCAGCGGCATCCCCCGTCTTGAGCAGACTCTTCAGTCTCGCAAGCAGTCTGCTCCTGCGGGATCTTACACCGCTCGTCTGTTCTCGGATGAGAAGCTCCTGCGCGCCAAGATTATGGAAGAAGCAGAGGAGCTCTGCGATGCCAAGACCAAGGAGGAAGTAGCCTTCGAGGCCGCGGACCTGATCTACTTTGCCCTCACCAAGGCTGTCAGCGCCGGCGTTAGCTTGGCTGACATTGAGAGGAATCTCGACGCCAAGGCATTCAAGGTCAAGAGGAGGACGGGTAACGCCAAGGGCAAGTGGGCGGAGAAGGAGGGCATCCAGACTACTCCTGCTTCCGCCGCAGCACCAGCACCAGCCCCGACACCTGCTGCCAAGGAGAAGTCAGAGGAGAGGATAACCATGCGCAGATACGACCTCTCCAAGTCTTCAGCCTCTGAGATTGATGAGGTCCTGAAGCGCCCATCGCAGAAGTCTCCTGACGCCATCCTGAACATCGTCAGGCCCATCATCGACGAGGTCCGCAAGGGAGGTGACAAGGCAGTCTTGTCTTACACCCACAGGTTTGAGAAGGCTACGTGTCTGACCTCACCCGTTCTTAAGGCACCTTTCCCCAAGGAGGCCATGCAGCTGTCCCCTGAGTCTATCAAGGCCATCGACATTTCTTTTGAAAACATCCGCAAGTTCCACGCCGCCCAGAAGGAGGACAAGCCCCTGAAGGTCGAGACGATGCCTGGCGTTGTTTGCAGCCGCTTCTCAAGACCAATTGAGAGAGTCGGTCTGTACGTTCCTGGTGGCACTGCCGTCCTGCCCAGCACCGCGCTGATGCTGGGTGTTCCCGCCATGGTCGCCGGCTGCCAGAAGATCGTCTTCGCCTCTCCGCCGCGCGCCGACGGTAGCCTCACCCCCGAGATCGTCTACGTCGCCCACAAGGTCGGTGCTGAGAGCATCGTCCTTGCTGGCGGTGCCCAGGCCGTTGCTGCCATGGCCTATGGCACCGAGAGCTGCACCAAGGTCGACAAGATTCTCGGACCCGGAAACCAGTTTGTCACTGCTGCCAAGATGTTCGTCAGCAACGACACCAATGCCGGTGTGAGCATCGACATGCCCGCTGGCCCCTCCGAGGTTCTTGTTATCGCCGACAAGGATGCCAACCCCGCCTTTGTTGCCTCCGATCTGCTCTCCCAGGCAGAGCACGGTGTTGACAGCCAAGTCGTGCTCATCGCCATTGACCTGAATGGGGAGCAGTTGCAGGCCATTGAGGACGAGCTTCACAACCAGGCCATGGCTCTGCCCCGTGTCGACATTGTCCGCGGATCCATCGCCCACTCCGTTACGATCCAGGTCAAGACGGTGGACGAGGCCATGCGCATCAGCAACGACTACGCTCCCGAGCACTTGATTCTCCAACTGAAGGACGCTGAGAAGGTGACCGAGCAGGTCATGAACGCCGGCAGTGTCTTCATCGGCGAGTGGACACCTGAGAGTGTGGGCGACTACTCCGCCGGTGTCAACCACTCTCTGCGTAAGTTTACCTACTTCCTATATACTCTGTGACGGTTTCTGACCATAGCGCAGCCACATACGGATACGCCAAGCAGTACTCTGGAGTCAACCTTGCCTCCTTCGTCAAGCACATTACCAGCTCCAATCTGACGGCCGAGGGTCTGCGCAACGTCGGCGATGCTGTTATGCAACTAGCCAAGACGGAGACCTTGGAGGCTCACCGCAGAGCTGTTGAGATCCGCATTGAGCACATGAACTGCCAGTAAATATGGACCGTACAAAAATGGAAAGGGTCGGGATCAAATATGAAGTTATGTATTTATACCAGAAAAGTCATTGGATATAGAAATTGAGTTCTTTTTTGCTTCCGAATATGGCTGGTTTGATTTATGACGATCCCACAACCCTGTACAGTGTCTGGTTTAACTCATCATCTCTTTGATTCCAGCCGCGTTGGGCAGGCAGAAGGTATGCGCCGGTGTCGAGTGGCTCCACATCATGAGGTGAACCTTGGGCTGTCCCCAGGGGAAGTGGACCGTTGTGATTTCTCAATCTCACTCCAGTCATCTCAACTAGGAGATCTTTCTTTTGATACCATAGAAATAAAAAACAAGTAAGAGCAAAGAAAGAAAGGAAAACAAAACATCGCAAAAGGAATAGACGCAAATTGCTAAAGAGCAAAAAAGACGAACGATCGTCTTCAAGGCCCTCCACCGCAGTGATTCGAACGAGCGCCCCAACCCCTTTAGGAAAACCAGAACCTTTGGGGAAGTATTTGATTTATTAAGAATGAGCTGTTTTACCAACTAGGCCACTTGGCCCATCTCTGTTGAACTGGTTGACGGATCTTCGGACGGAAAGCGAGCAAGTAGGCAGGCAGGCAGGCAGGCAGTCTTTCGCGAAGAAGGTGCGTCAGTGCAGTGAGGAAGGAGCTTTGCTAGCCGATTACGCGAGCGACAACAACGACGACAAAAGGAGGTGTACCAGCTACCTTGGGTACGCGAGTACCGCCTGCCTTCCATCAACCCAGGGTAAACGGGCCCCGATACTTTCGTTCCTGCACGTATTTCTTGAATGATTTCCCTGGGCAGCTCCTTTTGCTCACCTCAGTACCTAGATATGGTATTGTATCGCAAGGTATCAAGTCACAGCCATGAACGCCGCAAATTCAACTCCCACCCAAGTCAAGTTCGCGCTGGGATTTGCTGTCGGTCTTCGGGAACAAAGTAGAATTAGGCCGTCGTGGTGCTACGCTTGCGAATGTCACCGACATATGAACAAGGGAAGTCTTTATGATACACTAGCCTGTAAACGGTATCTCATACACTCTATACCCTAATCTCCTCGAAATCACAACCCCCCCGGCAGATTTAGTACTTGGGCTTCATGGTGGCCCTAAGTCTGGCGTAGTCGAAGAGACCCTCAATGTTTCCAACGGCGCTGATGGCGATGTCCTGGTCCCAAAGCTTCCTGCTGGCAAAGTCCATAACATCCTTCTCGGTAATAGCGTCGATGGTGCGCTCGATCTCGGCGGGGCTGGCACGGCGGCCGGTGGTGATGAGCTGGCGGCCGATGTCCTCGGCGATGGCAGTGGTGCCGTCGAGGGACAGGAGAATGGAAGCCTTGAGCTGGGCCTTGGCGCGCTCAGTCTCGGCCTCGCTGACGTTGCGGCTCAGACGCATCCACTCGCGCTGAGCGAAGTAGACGAGATCGTCGATGCGGTCAGCCTTGTCGGTGACGAGGTAGATACCCCAGAGACTGGCCATGGTTAGCAAGAATCAATGACAGAATCAGCCAGGGGCTGCTCACCCGGTGTCGCTGTAGCTGGTAGAGAAGGACATAAAGCTGTTGGCGATGTCGTGCTTGTGAACGAAGCCGCTAAGCTTGCTGCCCTGGTGGGGAGCGTTGCCAATGGCCTTGTCGTAGTTGCCAACGATGGCCTGGGCAACGAGGGCAGTGTAGTAGTCGTCGCTGTTCCAGCTGACACCCTCAACGGCGATGGCGATGTTGGCAGTGGGGATGTTGTCGTCGCGAACACGGACATCGGAACCGATGAAGTCGGCCTTCTGCTTGGAGAGCAGGTAAGCCTGGGTCTGGGGGCTGGTGGAGGCAAGGCCGCCAAAGTTCTTCTCGGCGAGCTCGACGAGCTTCTCGTGGGGGATACCGCCAGCGCCGACGAGGACCATACGGTCAGCGGTGTAGTTGTTCTTGATGTAGCTGGTGAGCTCGGTGCGGGTGATGTCGCGGATGTTCTCGCGGGGGCCAAGGATGGTGCGGCCGAGGGGCTGGTGCTGGTAGGCGGTGGCGTGAAGGTGGTCGAAGACAACCTCCTCCATCTGCTTCTCGACCTCCTCGGACTCGCGGAGGATGACGTCGCGCTCGCGCTCAATGGCGGACTCCTCGAGCTTAGAGTTCTGGAGAATATCGGCGAGGATGTCGACGCACTGGGGGACGTCGGAGTTGAAGGCCTTGGCGAAGTAGACGGTGTTCTCGCGCTATCCAGTGTCAATGGGGAGGACTTTGTGATTAGTTCGGTCGAGAGGAACGAACCGAGGTGTAGGCGTTCAGGTGACCACCCATGTTCTCGATCTCGAGCTCGAGCTGCTGTTGCGTTCGGTTTGAGGTACCCTATATTGGTGTTCAGCGGGACTTGGTCATCGCATTGGCGGCGCATCGATGGCCTACCTTGAAGGCAAGGTGCTCGAGGAAGTGGGCGGTGCCATTGGTCTCGTCGGTCTCAGCCCTTGAGCCGGCATCGATCCAAACACCGACGGTGGAGGTCTGGGCGAAGGGGGAGTAGTCGGTAGCGACCTGTGAATTCGACGTCAGTATCTTGTCGCGACGGGCGTGGTGACGCCAATTGAGTGACAGGGAGGGCAGGCGGAGGCGATGGGTGTCGTACCGTCAGTCCGTTCTTCAAGGTCGTCGTCTGAGTCTTGCCGAAGGGGGTGCTGGCGGGCGTAGCGAAGCCCCGGGTGAGAGGGCTCGCTCTGGAAAGAGCTGCCCGGCTTCGCAGCCCCTGCGAGAGGTTCAAAGCTAGTCTCCGGGACGCCATGGCGGAGTTGTGGAGGATAGGGAGTGATATGAGGTGTTTGTGAAATCTTTCGAGGAGGTTCCGGCTCAGAATTCAGAAAGCTTTCTGGGGCCGTGGGTGCCTTGGATGCCAGGCGCCAACCACTTTTGGCCCCGAATTGTTCCGGGCGTGGCCAATCAGGGCACGTTTAATTCCAACTCTGCGATGGGGCGATACGTACCGCAATGCTGCAATTGGGTGCCATCCGAGATCCGTTCACAGGCATCTTTCACTCATTGATATCATCACTCCAACAACATCAACATGTTCTTCGAAACCTGCACCACGGTCAATTGACCCAAAGCTGACGATGCTGCTCTCCAGCGACGGACTTCTCACTTCTCCTTCGACCACACCAACATTTGCGCACATCTCAAACGGCGTGGGCCGAGGCATGCGCAACGTTGCTGGGCACCGTCCGTCGAGTATTTTCGTGCTGGCAGCAGCTGCCAATTGGCCAATTAAGCGGATCCTGCCCGTGCCCAGGCGGCCGGCGGTTGCGTCAATGGAAGTTCCATTCGCGCAGCTGAGACTCGATCTGGCTGGCTGTTAGTGCAGCAGGTCACAAGACTGCCTTTTGACTTACTCTGCAGATGTCGCCCATCCCATGCTTCTGCGTCGGTGCCATACTGTGTCACATAAACCCAACTCTACCTTACCTTCGTAGTTGACCCAAACCCCCTCATTCAACTGGTCCACATACATCTGAAAGCAATCCGTACATCCCCCCGTCTGCACCAGGACCAGGCCATCTCATCATTGACTTGTATGACATCAAGATGCCATCAGACAACTACAATTTCGTCGACGAATTCCAAAAGCTGTTCGTTTCCAAACAAAAGCCAGCTCCTGAGCCCATCACCGACAACATGAAAGCAATACTTCAGAGCTACCCTCCTCTGGGTCAGTTCACCCAGGTCTCGACTGGGCAACTGACGGTGACGGCTGTTCTCGAGATACCAGCTTCGCGTGCAGACGAGCCATGGGAAGTTGCTTTATGGCAGTCCAGCGATGGAGGCGAATGGGCGGAGGTGGCCTTGCGTCGTATTGCTGATGATAGCCCGACGACTTTGCAGGCAGTTCCAGACCACGTCCGCCGCTTCTTCTTCTCTGCCTCTCTTTCAGTCAACAAGACGCTTCAATTCACGCTGAAGTTCAGACACTCGGATGCCGACTCATGGCGATGGACCCGTGATGAGCTTGGTGTTGGTGACGGTAACGTCGTCATGAGCACGGCCCCAGTGCTTCAAAGCCTCTCGGAACGTCTCGAAGACATTGTGACAGGCTTCAATCCTGCATGGAATGTGAAATCTCTCATGAGCCAGTGTCCTGGTACTCGTCTATGGTCACTGGAAACCGGCATCGACGCTGTTGACAACGATGAGTCCAAGCTTGCTAACATCTCGTTGGGTATGCCATGGGGAAGCTTCCAGAGGTAAGCCTAGGTCATTAGCCGCCACATATCCTGAGATCCGCTGTATCATACGGTCAGCGGCTGGGTTGTACATTTTCCAGGATACTAACGGGGACAGATGGTTTGCTCTCGTTCGTATTTGGAGTCCCTGGCTAGCCCCCCGCCATGGCAAGACCTCGTTTCATCTCGACAAAGACGCTGTACTATGCTCATTCCTGAGTTCCGAGGGCAAGCATCTCGTATTCCTTGCCATGAGCGGGGTCAACAATGTGCTATCTGTTTTCCGTCACGATGATGCTGGGCAGATATCCGTTCACGTGAGTTTGAATCTCGTGAGCAGACATTGCGGTCTCTGATTGACATTGATAGGCTCGTAACGACGGATCTTCGTCAGAGAACGCCAAGATCCTCGTTGCCATTGGTGACAACTTCGAGAGCGCGAATGCTGCAGTAATGTACCAGGCGAGACACTATGTTATTACAGAGAAGAAAGCCAGCAATGAGTTGCAGGCCGAGATGAAAGCCATCGAAGAAGGCGTCAAGCCGGAATGGATGGAGAACTGGTATGACGGACTCGGCTTCTGTAAGTGATACCCACCGCATGACCCTGGAAGCATTTAGCTGATGTGGCTGTATAGGTACATGGAACGCGCTTGGGCAGCGTCTCACAGATGAGAAGGTGTTCGACGCTGTTGACAAACTGGCCGAGAACAACATCAAGGTTACCGGTCTCATCATCGACGACAACTGGCAGACCATCGATTACAGAGGCCACGGCCAATTCCAACATGGTTGGTGTGAGTTTGAGGCCGAGCCGAAGGCTTTCCCAAAGGGTCTTAAAGCGACGGTTGCCCACATTCGAGAGAAGCATCCTCATATCCAGCACATTGCTGTGTGGCATGCCCTACTAGGTGAGATACTTCAAAGCATGTACGGTTGGCAGGACTAATTTTCAAGGTTACTGGGCGGGTATCTCTCCGGAGGGCAAGATTGCAAAGGAATACAAGACGGTTGAGATCGTTCGAGAAGATGCCGAGCGACGGAACCTACCTCTTGGTGGCAAGATGACTGTTGTAGCCAAAGAGGACGTCGACAAGTTCTACAATGACTTCTACAAATTCCTCGTCGATTGCGGCATCGATGGTGTCAAGACAGATGCCCAGTTCATGACGGACACATGGGTCTCAGCCACCGCCCGTCGCGAGCTCATTGATGCCTATCTAGATGCATGGACGATATCCTCACTACGCCACTTTAGCATTAAAGCCATATCTTGCATGTCGCAAACACCGCAAATCCTATTCTACAACCAGCTTCCCCGGAACAAGCCCGCGATTCTCTGCCGAAATTCAGACGACTTCTTCCCTGAGATCCCAGCCTCACACCCTTGGCACGTATGGACCAACGCTCATAACAGCTTACTCACGCAGCACCTGAACATTTTACCAGACTGGGATATGTTCCAGACCGTACACGATTACTCTGGCTTCCATGCTGCAGCGCGATGCGTCAGTGGTGGGCCGATCTACATCACCGACGTCCCGGGACAGCACAATTTGGATCTCATCAAGCAGATGACAGGGTTGACGATCCGAGGAAAGACTGTCATCTTCCGTCCCAGCGTCATAGGGAAGACCATCGATCCGTACACTGGATACGACGATGATGGCCTGTTGAAGATCGGTTGTTACCACGGCAAAGCTGTGACAGGCACTCCCATTCTGGGCGTTTTCAATATCTCGGCCCGATCCTTGACAGAGATCATCCCCCTCAGCTCCTTCGCTGGCGTTCTGCCTTCCATGCGCTACGTCGTTCGTGCCCACTCGTCTGGAAAAGTCAGCCCGCCTGTCACCCCGGGCACACCAGCTTCTGCTCTCACCACTTCGGTGGACGTACGAGGATATGAGATATTCACCGCGTACCCCCTTTCCAGCTTTGACAGCGAGTCAAAGGGCAAAGTGTGGACTGCCAACTTGGGCCTCGTGGGGAAGATGACAGGAGCAGCGGCGATAGTCAACAGTGATTTCTTACTGCGACACGACGGCAAGGTTGAGCTCAAAACCCGTCTCAAAGCATTGGGCGTTCTTGGTAAGTCCCCAAGCTTCCCTGAAAGAGGGCTTAAACTTAACATCATGTCCAGGTCTGTACATCTCTAAGTTGCCGGAGCTTACCATCCACGACGATTTTCTCGTCACCATCCAAAACTCGGTCATCCCTGTCAGCGCGGTGTCTGTTTGCAAGAATGATGACAAGGTACTGGAGATTGATATCGAGAAGGCTTGGGAGGAGATGGGCTTGCACCCAGGGTGGAGCAATGAGGTTGAGATGACTGTCACTTTCGCCATTGACCACGAGCAGGTGGAGGACTAGCTAGAACCGGTCTCCATGTCATCATCCTGAACATTGAAATAGATAGATCTCATTCAAATCGCATGAATGGTCATTTTCATCTTCACCATGCTCACCTGGCCCTCACCATCAAACGAGTGGCCTCCAGCTCACTTTCTAACCTTCTCGTGCGGCTGCAAGTCCAACAACTTCGCCTCCCATGACAGGGTCGCGGGGATCTCCTCCTCCAAGCTCTTGTCTCTGCCCTCCCATCCAAGGTACTCGCGCGCCCTCTCCGCCTTGCTCTTCGAGTTGAGGCCCCAGCTGTTATTCGACACCCCCTCCGACTGCAGCGCCTCCTTCATCGTAGCCTGCTTGGTCAGCGGCGCCGGCAGATACCCCTGCTTGTACGCCTCCTCCGCGATCCACCGCGCGACCTCGCTCCAGACGTGGTTGCCGCTCTCGACGAAGTAGTATGCGCACGGCCCAAACACCTCCGGGTCAGCATTCTTTCCAGCCTCCTGCGTCGCATCGGCGAGCGTCACGAAGAAGGCCGAGAGGTCGTGCACATGCACATTGTTCCACTCCGTCTTACCCGGCGCGATGATCGGCGCGAAGCCCTTCTCGAGCGTGGCCTTGGCGAGGGCGGGGACCTGGATGGAGCGCTGGTTGACGGGCCCGCGGCCCTGGCCGTAGATTGTAGGCGGGGAGACGATGGCGGTGCGGACGGCGGGGGAGGAGTTCGCGGCGAGGACGATCTTGTCGACGTTGCGGTGGATGGCCTCGTCGGGGAGGCTGAGCAGGCGGTCGATGTCGCGGATGTCGTGGTAGTCTTGCTCCGGGAGGGGGGCCTCGCCGTAGCGCTCGTGTTTTTGGTCGTACTGTCGTCCCCTCGTGTGTTAGACAAGACGACGGGACGGAAGGGATATTGTTCGTACCCATTGCAGAATTCCCGTGCCCGAGACGTGAAGCCAGAAGCCGGGCTTCTCCGCAGTGTGGCCTTCGGCGAGACCTTTAGCAATGGCTTGCGCTGAAGGAACGTCGTCCGCAGAGTCGGCGGTGTCTAAGAGACGGCAGTCAACATTCAGTACATCAGGGGTGCAGATACTGTATTCTCCATGTCAACTTCACGGAGCAGGACACAAGACGTACGGACAACAATGTCGGCGGCAGCGGCCTCCTTCTCGATGACGTCCGAGTCGGTCAGGGTGCCGACCACGATGCGAACATTGGCGTTCGGATAGGCCTCCTTCACAGGCGCTGCACGCTCCTCGGAGCGGACGAGGAGCGCGTACTCGTAGTTCGGGTGCTGCTTATAGAGAGCATGGAAGGCGTCGCCTCCGATGTAGCCTGTGTGAGTGTGTAAGTCGAGAACCCGCCTGTGTCTAGAGAGGAAAGCGTTTGGTACCCGTCACGCCGGTGCTGTGATGTTAGGTTAATTAGTGAGGATCGTTTTCTAGACCAATTTGTGAACGACTCACAGGAAAATTTTCAGGGTCATTTCGTGGGATTATTCGTGGGATTTGCCGATTTGTGTGAATGAAGCGCTTGGCTGTCATGAGGTAGACGGAGACGGGTATGCTGGGCATCGTGTTTGTTATATGAAAGTCAACCCCGCATCGCCTATCATTGTGAAGGGGTGTCTACCAGCTCATCGACGCTTAATAATTACACTGCAGGCGCCCGAATTATGAAACCCAAACAGCTGTCTAAATACGGGGATGTATTCGACAATTTCCCAAGTAGATCCCCCTCTTCTGACACCAAGCTCCCTGAGGAAGGGTAGTGAGCTAGAGGTGGGGTATCTAACGTGAATCGAGGGGCAGGGCGCGGCGGGTGACATCATGGCCATCACGTCTTCGCGGGGTCCTCGCCATATGTGGCATGTTTGTGTTGCACTGTCCTGTAGATCCGGGTTGACGATCCGTTTGTCATGTCCCACTTGTTCCCGGTGAAAGGAGTTAGTGTCGGAAATAAAACGAATTCTGCATAGAGCTGGCTTGTTGGCTGAACATCAGTATTTCATCAATATTCGACGATCGTGTTGGATGACTTGGGTGAGCCTGGAGGCGGATGGCACCCAGGTAAGTAAGACATCGGCTTCAGGGCATGCGGGCATGGCCAAGCAAAGACCATCTGTAGATTAAACAGCAATAGCTGGTAGGAGAGGATTGACATTCGACCAGAGTGAATGTATCCGAAGTGAGAAAAGTGAGGGCTAGGGATGCAATTTGGATACCAGCAGAGGAAACATACATATGAGGAACCACAGGCAATATAGTCATCATGGTACGGGAAAACGATATAGTTTCTTCCTTTAGTACAACTCTTGCTGAATAACACTACTTACTTCACGACAGCTGATCGGTACCAAAACCCCCTTAACTCGAGTAAGGGATCAAGCGGTCTCGAGAACGTGTCTCGATGACTGGGCCATCGCATCAGCTTGAGCAGATATGACATCAGAGATCCTCGAGATATTGGTGATGTGCAACCAGTTCCTACCATTGTATGTTGCGCATAGCGAGAACGAATCGATCATGGTCGGAGATTACCATATTCAAGAGGACTAAAGGAGCGTTCATTGTCCCTTTAGAACACGAATCAAAAACAGTTTACGGTGAGTTACAGAAACCATATCCAGAACACAAATCTTGTAGTATTGCGTCTGATGGTGTAGCTTCGCTTCCCACTTGGATCTCTGCGCAAGATCTTGCACCATCGTTTGGTTGGTGCGAGCCGATGAGAGTCGGTGACTTCCATTCACATGCAATAGCCAGCCCCCACACTTCGGCGTGTCTTAGACATGCAGCGTGGGATGACCGTTGGGAGTCACTGCTTACAATGACGAAAAGCCTGGGTAGACCTGCTCTCATGCTGAAATTGGTGTTTTGTTTTCATCGCGTTGTGAGTTGTTAAGAACCCAGATTACGCACATCGGCTCAGAATGTGAGCCGATATCTTTGATAAATCTCATAACCTCTATGAATGGCGTCTCTTCAATCAGTGTGCCTTCCGACTTTTTTTTAAAGTTCCTAAACGCCAGCGCGATGTCTGCTGTCGCGCATTGTTCTCCTTGTGGAAAGGAGTAGAAAAAGAAGTCAAGTCTCATGCAAGGTTGTTTGGGAAGAATCGTGTCTCGGCAGGTTGAGGCCCCTCATTTGGTGCCGACAAGGAGAATGTTCCAAAATGGGTGATTATGTACGTTGATGGGCTTTCCTCTCATGTTGCGTGCCAGAACTGAGATGTGAGACGTTGTCGGCCGCCGGGCCTCGGGAGATAGGTCGGTCGATGGGCACTTATATCGGGGCCGATGCCGGGGGTCCGAAGATCGAGGGTGATTCGATCATGCGTCCTCGAGGAGGATGACGGTCTTGGTGTCGCCGAGCTTCTCCCGTCCGTTGAGACCGGGGATTTCCAGGATGAAGAGGTAGCCAACGATCTCGCCGCCGAGCTGCTTGACGAGGTCTGCCGCCGCCTTTGCGGAGCCGCCTGGTGGGTGGTGTTAGTGGGGCCAATTGCGAAATCGAGGGAGGGGCAGAAATCATGGAGGGGCAATTCTGCCGCCCGCCGCATGTCGCAAAACTCACCAGTAGCGATGATGTCGTCGACAACCAGGACCTTCTGGCCCGGCTTGATGGCATCCTGCTGCATCTGGAAGAAATCGGAGCCGTACTCCTTCTGGTACTCGGCGGTGACGCACGGGCCGGGCAGCTTGCCCTGCTTGCGCACCGGGGCGAAACCGGTGCCGAGACGGAGGGCCAGGCCGGGTCCGAAGAGGAAGCCGCGGGCGTCGAGGCCAACAACAACGTCGGGAATCTGCTGGCCAAAGGCCTCCTTGACCTGGAGCTCGAGGACGGAGCCGAGGGTCTCGTGGACGGAGGGGTCGAGGAAGAGGGGCATGATATCGACGAAGTTGATGCCCTTGATGGGGAAGTCGGCGAAGTGACGCAGGGCGCTCTGGAGCTTTACCTTCCCACCGGCGAGTTCGGGGGAGGCGGCGGCGGAGGAGGAGGGCTGTCGTCCCTGGGCATCTTGAGAGGCGTTGGTGTTTGAGGCGGGCAGGTCGGCGGTTCCTCGGACGGGATGGGCGGCCAGAGGGTTAATTGGTGCCGGCGAGGCGTCGTTAGACAGAGGAATCTGTTCAGAGGACATGTTGAAGAGAGAAGAGAGGAGAGGAGGAGAAAGATAAAGGTAGGTCTCCGGGCGGGATGGTAATGATATGTGCAGGTACAGACAGTATCTAGGCTGGCAGAGAGAAAATTTTGGGGTCGGATCCCGGAGTGAGTGAAAGGAGGGGTGTGGGACGCGACAACTGGCGGGCAGGTAGAACAGGCACGGCAGGTCGTAGAGCTACGGCCAAGGCCAAGGTTGGCAACCCAAGTGCGGATGGGCCAGGTGTTTAGGACACAACCTGGAAAGTCGAGGTACGGGAAGTTTGTATTGTGTGTGCTACAGCTACCGAGTACTTGCACCAGAGTCAGCAGGAGGGTAAGGTACCTACCTCAATAGGTACCTACCTGCGCATTCATTGCCTTGCGCTGCCTGCCTACCTACCTACTTACCTACCTTACCTAGTAGGTAGGTACCTTGCTGAGGTGCCGTTGCGTGGGACAGGCCTTGTTGACCGAACCAGAAAGGTGTGTGTGCGGTTAGAATTGAGGTGTGTGAGAAAAGACTCATCAGACTGTGGACTGAAAATCGGAGGCTAGTCCAGCTCGGCTCGCCGGGATTAGGGGAGGAGGGTGGAGGGTGAGACAAGGCAAGGAAGAGTACCTTAGTTGTAGGTCGGTACTGTGCTGTAGGAAAAGACGAAGGAAAAGCACGAAAGCAGGCTGGCAGATGGCGCGCAGAAGGGGCGTGCCGGGTGGTGGTTGTCCAGGATCATGAAGGGACGAGTAGACGAGACGAGGGAGACAAAAAAAAAAAAAAAAGTGGTGAGAGTAAACGCGCGCCATCGATTAGAGGAGTGGAGAGTTGTGATACGGGTAGGGTGTCACTACGGCGGTACGTGTGGTTCAAAGTGGGCAAAAGAGCCAGCCATGACGGGACCTGGGCATGAGCATTGGCATTGGCATTCCCAATGACAGACAACGGGACGGTTCCAGGCAAGGCCTGCCTCATTGTTTGTTGCAAGATAGGGAAGAGCTCTCTTCGCGGGCTATTATTCCCAAGGTAGATAAGGCCAGCGGTAATTTTGTTTCTTCTGCTGTCTCTTCCCTGCAACGGGCCCATCCATCCCTCTCTCGGATACTCTTTCGGATACCTCCTGTATCCTGCCGATGTTGGGCGATAACAACCTATCCGTCCCCAAGGAACAAAACGTGCTCAAGCATTATTTCTCCGACCAGAAGACCGCCGAGCCATCAGTGACGGGCAACGACGGCAGCTCTCGCATGTTCCACTCCTCTTCCTCTGCGCCGTCGAAACTCGCCTCGCACGATATGGGTATCTGCCTATAATAGCAAATGGTAAGCCAGCTCTGGCGCAGGTGGGATGGCATGGTATGGCATGGCACAGCATAGTACCTAGGTAGCATGGCAAGGCACGGCTTGCTTGTATCTCTCTCTGCCTCTCTGCCCCTCCAACGCGACATCGACCCCTCCATCGGCGAACGGACTGCACCAGGGAGCAAAGAGGCACTACCCCACTATGCCACCATCTCCGAGAGACCCAGACCGGGGTGCAAGCTGCTGTGTTTCTGTCTCACACACATCAGGCAGCTCAGCACCAGCATGAACATGAGCGTGAGCCCAACGCCGTTGTGGTCCCGGGGCACCAACGCTGTATCCGTACTGGACTGGATTGGGCCGGGAACCTTGCCGTTTCCCTGTCCTGTCTAGAACTGATGAATGGGAATGCAGCGATGGCTGATGCAGTGCAGCTTCCTGCATGCGCATGTAGGTGGTACAACGATGCCACGCCATTCCACGACCTCATCTTCCGTACGGATAAGGTAGGTAACGCATGCTGCTCGAATAAGGTTGTTGATGGGCTCGGCTCGGCTGGGATCCATTGTGCCGTGCGGTCACGGTCATCTCAATGGCGGTCGGTAGGTTGCTTGGTTTTGGGATGACATTGACGCTGATGTTGAAGCCAATTGCCTGTGTTACTGTCACTGTGTTGTGTTGCCGTCAACTGAAGTTCAAAGGGCAGATGCTACAGACCACACGTCCCTCTCAACATGTGGGGATTGTAGCAGCCCGACCATGCGGAAAACATTCGGCTCGTTTCAAACGTCTGAAGTTGCCCATGGTCCGTGGCGAGTCGTTCAACAAGGTTGTGAAAGAGGCATCCATTATCACAATACCATATGGACGAGGTTGACTGACGACACAGGAGAAGCCGGAAGACGTGAGGCGGATGTGCAGTGGAGAAGAGTGAAACAGAGGAGACGATAGGGCAGGACCGGTACTTCTGGAAGACACCTGTTGGATGTTGAATGCAGGGTATCGGACTGAGAATGGATAATGGCAGTGGAGAGGAAGGGAAGGGATGGAAGCACGGCTTCTGAGCTGTTGCATGTTGCCGGGCAGGAAGCGGCGCTTATGACGACGAGATCAACGTCAACTGCATTGCACCGCACCGCTTGCCATGTTGTGGCGGTCTAAGTCTTTGCAACCGCCCCCGTTTCTCTTACCCAAGAATCCCAGAGTAAGGTGCCTGGCCTTCTTCCTTGCCTTGAGGTCTTTCGACCAACCGGAAAACTCGATGGGACCGCTACGTGCGTGCTATTCAGACCATTAACACATCCTCCTACATGCCATTATCCCTCCTCTCCGCACCTCCCTAGAACGCCACTCGTTCCTGTTCTGCTTCTAGATGCATTCAGCCCATGCACCTCCCTGTCCTCTCGGGGCCTTTTACGGGGACAGCGAAGCAGACCGGGACCCTACGTCTTGGCCGTGACCCCTGGACCTGCTTGCTCGCTCGCTCTGGGCGGCGGCCAGCCCAAGATACCATCGCTCAACCACAGCTTCTGCAACGAGCCTATCAATTTCTGAGGATGCTGCGTTCTGTCAACCTGCTCAATAAATGGCTCTACGGCCTGCCACGGTTGCTTTGTCGGACCAGCATGTCCATATCCAGCAAAGCTCAAACTCAAGGTCAAACCGGAACTCAAAAACCCACTTCAGCAACAAAAGCCCCGGTAGCACATACGAACGTGCTTCAGCTGGGCATCTTGCCTTGCAAGACGACTTTACGGATACACTCAACAGCGCTGTGTCAGCCAGGGTCCTTACACCTGCCCCAAAGTACTTACCGATCTCTGCCTGTCCCTACGCACTCCAGGCCTGGTCTGCATCGTCAGCTTTGATGTTTAAGGGTCCTTTTCCATACGGTGTCTGACTTTCACCGTGGTATTCGATCAATAATCATATTACACCCCACTCATCCCGTCGAAACGTCTCATTCTCCCCGTCCATACTCCTTGGACCATCAAAGTCTAGAGCAACGGGCGAACCACCATCGCATCATCCTGCCATCACTTCGCATTGAGTCACGACCAGGGCGTTTGTCGAATCAGAAGTCAATACCGCTCATGAACGGCCTCGCAACCCCCGCGCCTCGACACGAACGGACCCATGTCCGACGGGATTTCCTCCTTCACCTGGCGGTGCCTACGCTGCTCATCCGTCACTTCTCAACGGTATCAATCACAAAGTACTCATCCCACCACCACACCACATTTTAGTCGATGAACTACCCAACCAAGCACTCAGCTCACAAAGAGGCCCTGGTGAACCGATATCTCAGCCAAGGTGCCTGGATCTTCAGACAAGACGGATCCCCCAAGACGGGCAAGCTGCAACGGCATCTCTTCGGTGCCCCCATATTTCAAGTTCCATCCGAATCCTCTGCGTCCATTTTATCCGATCATTTCCAAGCACCATCCCGGAACTGCCACTGGACCTGGAACCGCCTTACCTGGAGGTGTCTATTTCTAGCTGACGACGTATGGGTCTCCGACTGGCAACGTAGGGTTTAGGCCACGTTCTGTCAGCCTTTTGCCAGACACTCATCCATCTTCCCGGATCAAGCTTGGGAAAGCTTGTGAACAGTGTGCATGGTCGATCCGGTCTGGATCGCAACAGCCGCCCCGTGTCACAGCCACGCAGCGAGTTACTCTGTAACGAACCTCGTTCACGTCAAAACCGCTCCAACGCATCAGATACGCCGTCCGGACATTGTTCCGCCACAGGCATTCAATCTTGATAATGGCGCTAGGCAGTGGTGATTCAAGCCAGTAAGCAAGGTCCTACACAACCGCAATGCCTCGCTATCTACAAATGCACGCCGTGCTTTCACGGCCATCCGCTGGCGGCCCGGAAGCCATTCCGCCAGACTCACGTTGAAGCAGTGCTACCCTTGGCCACTGCGCTGAGTGGCTGAGGGTATCACCTCTTTGTCATCGAATTCACCACTGGGCCCGTTCAAGCTGTGGACGAGACGCGGCATCTCCACCGGTCGGTCGCATTTGAGGCGTCCCGTACGTACCTAGGTACTGTGCTACAAGTCCTCAACTGCCTGTCACTGTGTGTATCCCCGGGCGGCTCGGACGGAGATGCTAACCGTCGTAACCCTGCCGTCCTTTGACATGCAACCTTCTGTTCTCGGGGGCTCCTGAACTCATCCGCCAGCTCCAGAATCCTAGACATAAAACAGACTGCGAGATGCCCGTACGATTGCCTTTCCCAATGAAACAAAAGGCTCTGCTCGGTCAGCCGGCAGTCATCAGGAAGACTACCTTGCTACAGCACGACATCTCTGGGACCGAGCCAAACCTTCAATACGTTTGTTTCCTGCTCGCCCGGCACCCCTGCACTCGCCCACACGCCGGGCAGTCTCCATGGACGAGAGACCCCGACTCACTCACATGCCCGGAGGGACCAGCAGCAACATCAAGATCTGTTGCATTAGCGGCCTTTTTTTTTTCACAACGTTCCGATACAAGGTCGAGGCGGTCCCCGTTCGGCATTACAACTTGCGCAATCGGGGCTTTCCGTTACGACCTTGGTAAACATTCCGCAGCTAGAAGGTGTTTAATACAAGTCGGCATGCCTCAGGAAGAAGAAGATGCCGTGCCTCCGGCGCCGCTAGCACGCAAGTCGCCGTAAATGAGTCAGTTTGGATGACCTACAGACGCCGTAGTCTGTAGGTCCCGTACCGTAGTGCGCGCAAACCGCGTCCCTTCTTCACCGCCTCCTCCCACCCGGCCTCGGCGCCATTGGCTGGGCAGGTGCACGACTTTTGGGGGGGAAGGCATGCTGTTGTTCGATATGCAAATGTGGGTAACTATATGCTGACGTTGCTCAAGCTTCGAAAACGACGCGCCACTACTACCAGAGAGAGAGAGAGAGAGAGGACGAAAGCCAGACCTTATTCGTGCCAGTTGGCAATTGATGGCCCGTCCCTTCCTAAGAGGCACTTTAGCTCACTGCGACTCAGAGGTGATCCCCGACGTGCTTGACTAAGGTCGTTACACTGGCCAGAGGGCGCTTCTGCCTGCTGCCGGGCTTATCAACGACATGATCATATCTAGTCGGCCGTCTGTCTGTGTGTCGCAAACCGCTCCGCGCGGGGGGTAATCTAGTTTCTGTGCTCTCTACATCTGCAAACATGACAACACCGTCCCAGCAAGCCGGCGACGCTCTCATTCGGTAACCCGAACCGCACAGGAGCTTGAACGAGCTGTCAGTGGGCAGCCTCGCCGCAGCGTCTCGGAGGGTGTCGTCGCTCGTTGGGCCGGGGGGTGGGTAGGACAGCGTCATGCAGGTGGCCGCAATCAGCCAAACGGGGGGCCTAAAAAATCTAGGCACCCTCTTCTCTCTCTCTCGCCGGTTCGTTGTGTGAGTGTGTGAGTGAGACAACCAAGCAATGAAAAGGTCTTGTTGGGCTATTGTTCCCTATCGCGCTTGCTGCAGATGATATGATGTGCATGCGCGCGCCAAGTGCCCTTTCATTATCGGAGGAGCGTCATCGTGTTGCTTCTCGTAATCTTCGTCTCATTACTTCTATTACTCATCGGTCTTCTTTCTGTCTAATGAAAAGGAACGAAAACGCCGCGGTCATGCTCTGAAACTGTGGTATCTAACATCTAATGGTCGTGAGAGACATTAAAAAAAGGGGAAGGGGTATCTTTCTCGTTTGGTCTTCCGCAACGGTTGCCGTGAGGGCATGCGCGTAAGACTAACCCAAAAAAACGCAATGAGAGTCGTGAAGAAACAACGCGATTTATGCAACTTGCCATTGCTCTCATCTTTGAGGACAGAAGTATGCTGAATGTTGAAAAACAGTCATCAAAAAAGACCATACGTTCGGTACGGCTATAACCAATGTCGATGCCATCCAATTCCTCATAAAAAGAGGCAATGAAACCGGCGATAAGATCGGGCAGCATGAGGCATAACAACGTCGCAAATGTGGTGTGAAGCAGTCTGTCGTGGGAGGTGTCTTCAAGGAAATTGTAGTCGGATGATGGAGAAGAACATGTTTTGAAGCACATGAAACATGACAGCCACGCTCGTCGGCAGCAGCTCAGGCCAGACGGCGAGATCAAGCTTTCCCTCCATACCGACGTCGACCCCAAAAATGTAGCGGATGAGCACGCGGACGCAGATGGACGCCACGAGCTCGCAGCCCCATGTGACCGAGGAGGCCCAGAAGGTCAGGTTGAAGTCGTAATCGTCGCCAACCTCCTTCATGTCGAATGCGAAGTAGGGGTAGACGTCTTTGTTCGGTCCAAAGTGTAGAACCAGGACGCTGCCGAGGAAGGCCGCCATGGACACGTTCTCCGCGAGGAAGCGGATAAAAACGTTGCGGGTGCAGACCTTTTGATACGACGCGTAGGACTGGTCGGTCAGGTTGAGGGTGACGGTGATGCGGTGGTAGAGGCGCGACATCGTCAAAGGGGTGAGGATGATGAGCGTGCTGCTGGAAAGTATCTGAAGATACACGAATTGCTCTGGGGAGCGAAGACGGGCGTATAGCGCGCGAACGTAGGTTTGGTAGGTGAGCATGAAGTATCTTTGTTTTGTTAGATGTGCCGTCTGTAACACGGAAAAGGGGTTCGCTTACAGCTTGAATACCCAGCTGAGAGGGTAGCTCCCAACACGTTCACCCTCGCGAATACCAAGCAGCCAACCTGTCAAGGCGTCGAGGAGATGGACCGTGATGATCCAGCTGTAGACGTAGACGATTGTTTCCAAATTGTTGTGGGGTAACGTCCGTAAGTAGATCTCTGCGTAGGCTTCTCCTATCACATACGCCATGAGGCCGACGAACAAGGCCAGACAGAACCAGATGAAACGGACGAAGCTGGCTGGCAGCCATCTGCGCCGTATCCTCACGCTGGTCAAGTGTCTGGGCTGCTCTGAGCCGACCTGCAACGCCGCGTCCGTGTCGAACGAGTCGTGGCTGAGGTTTGGCCGGCGACGATTATCTCGCCGAGGGATACTCCCTTCAGCCTCACCAGTCCACCAAGACGTTGTGAAGATCCGTTGCGTCTCAGAGAGCGAGTGGCGTAATTTCAGGTGGCGTTCTGAGGTAAGGAGAATGCAGAACGCTATAGCTACCGGCATAGCCATGACGATAAACGTCCAGGAGATCCAAGCCGTGTTATGTTGAGTGAGGAAGCGTGTTTCCGGGGTAAGATAAAGCGGGATAGGCACTGCTATTGAAACAATGGCAATCAGAGACATGGTGACCGGGAAGCCGAGGGATTGCGGCCACCTGTGAGCGTGTAAGTCAGTGGAGACTTCCTCCATACACCTGGAAGGGGGGTTCATACCAGTTCAGGCTGTAAAGATTGAAGACCTTGGTGATCCAAATCAGGGCAGTAATATTGTAGAAGCCATAGTAGACAAATAGGAAGAACCAGAAACTAATCTGCACTCGTGCTTCTCCGTGACCAGGTATCTTGCGCCCCGAACCAGACCCGGGGTCACTACGGTCGTCATCGTCGTCAGGAAACTGATATTGCGGAAACGGCAGCGCACACCACGCGACGGCCTGCATTTTATCAGAATCAGTACTTCTTTCGCAATCAAACAAGGGCATATTCATTGGTGGTGACATACTAGAGCAGCGGGCATCAACACCAGACATCCATACCGACTCCACCAAACGTCAACCACCTTCTTGACGGCACTCTGCTTCGGCTCTACCCAAACGTCGACAATCCTGCGCCAGGTCCGCTGCCATAAGCTCAGATCCTCCAAGTCGACTCTATCGGCACCATCATCGTTGTTATCGAGACCAGCTGCAGAGAGAAGCGCGCCATAGCCGACGTGCACACTGCCACGATTGTTGGAGAAGAGACCGAGGGTGCTGGAACGCCGACGGCGGCCGCTGACATCGGAGTCTTGGGGTACGGCGCGAAAGCGACCTAGTAGAGGAGACGAGTCGCTCGTGAAGCGGGTTCGGGACTCGTTGCCTTGCGTGAATTGGAAGAAGCTCGGCATCGCTTCGCAGTTTGGAGGGTATCGTCTATCTTCGCGACATTGGGTGTGGTTTGTTTACTTTCCACTCGTGGCAGGCGAGTTCTCTCGACAGTTGTTGGTTGGATTTGAAATGCTTGGGATACGCGCTCGAGCTTAAAGTCTAGGAAGTATTACCCCGCGAGAGTGAATGCTGCTTTATCGTGATCTTGCTTATATCCAGGATGACGCGGGTCTGGCAGGAATGTTTGCTCGATGTCGTACAGTAGTAGCTTGTGGTGTGAGGAAAGGAATCCCGGACTTCATCCAGTGTAAATTGGAATTTCAGTGGCTTATGACGCTAGGGCGCCCGTGTACCTGGGACGGTCCCTGGTTTTCTGGCGGACACGGCGGATCAGGCCCCCTGGCAAACCGGGCGCTAGCGCTGTTTGGGCGGAGCTTCGAATGTGTTGGCCTGTGGAGACCTCATGCTGAGTTCGCAGTCCTCCGACCGCCGGCCGGGGGCCGCATGATGTTTGGTAGATGAGCACACGAAATGAGATTGAAGATTGAAGGGTTGAATACCGTCGCCGTCTTTGTATTCCCAAATATTATCGTAAATATGCATGCTTCTTACAATCGCCTCAACTCCCTCTGTGGAAACAAGTGCCGGTTTACCCACGGCGCGTAGATCTAGGTGGTAATCTAGATGCAAGAGCCCATCAAAAAGGCCGAACGTCATGATGTTGTTGTACAGAGTCCCTCTTAGTCCTCGTCATTGTCCATGGTCTCCTCGAACCCCTCTGAGTCCTCGGTCTCCTCTGAATCCGTAGAATATTGTTTCTCTTTGGGCACGTCCACAAAGTCAACTTCGTTGCGGTCGTCATCCTTTTCTTCACCCTCAACCTCGGCCTCAACTTCAGCATCCTTTGAGTCTTCTGAAAAGGCCACAACCTTGGACGTCGGCGATTTCTTCGGTGGCTCCAAAACATCACCACTCCAGGGTTTGCATTCTTTGACCAGCTCACCACACCTGAGACAAGTCCAACCCTCGCCCTCCTCTCGCTCCAGCCGGGTCGCGAGACAGACGAAGCAGTATATGCAACCGCAAGGAATAGTCTCGTATGGGTTCGTAATATCTGTTTGGGCCGATCCAATGACACCGCTCGAGGCCGCAGCCGCCATGATCTCGGTCTCCGTAGTTGCCAGAGCGTTCTGGTCTTGGTAGCAGATGGCGCAAGTGCGCTCCGGCAGAAAGCCGTACTCTCCGTTGGCCGACTTTTCTTCGTCTCCGCTAGTCGTCATGATTGATTTTGTCTTGCGCCACGTTCGTGATATCCATCTCCTCCATCGATTGATGCCGATAAGTGGGAGAACAAACAAAAGAAACTCGGTGAAGGCATGCCAGACGAGTTGCCGATTGAGGTATTCGAAAGACACCTCACGGCTCACCTGGCTTGTTGGTGGGGCGAGGCGCATACGTAGTACTCTATCCAAGAGGGTGCGATATCTCCCCTGCAGGAGGAAAACCAGGAAGGAGACGAAGGCTGCTCCCGCGTGTATGGTGGTGATTCTCGATGTAATGCGCGACAGTCGCTGGAGGCGTGGATTGGGATCACCGTATCCTTCGTCATGCTCCAGCAGCCAGTTCTCCCATTTGTCCCAGCCGTATCTTCCAAAGACAGTCGCCAGTCCGTAGAGGGACTTTTGCCATCTGGAGGGCGCCACCAAAACAGAGCCGTCCTTGCGCGCGTCGGTATATTTCAGGTTCTGCAACGCTGCACCATAGGTCGCATCGTTATCCCACACGGTGAGCTTGAATAGCACCGCGCGCAGTGCCAAGAGAATCTCAGCTGACCAGTCGTCTTTCAGGTGGCCGCCGGCAAAGTATTTGAGCGCATCACCAACCTGACCGCGCAGGAGCTCCAGCAACTCGTCGTCTAATAGTTCGGCGTCGACCTGTCCGACTCTGAAGGCCGGACGCGTGCCGTCCTGGGAGGAGATGGCGTCCCATGCTGATCCGAGTCGGCTAAAGGGGAAGGGCAGCCGGTCAATCTGGGCGCGTGCTCGTGATGATTCGTGTTGCGCGGCGATTCGGGCGGCGTTCTCTGCTTCGCGGGCTTGTCGTCGGGCTGCCAGGCGCTGCTGCGCTTGCGCAAAGTTGGTCGATGTCATCTGGGCGGCATTGGGCGGTGGAATGTGCAGGCGAGATGCAAATTGCTGAGCATCACACCTCTTGCCCAGGTTGTCGAAGACGACGGGGGGATGGGAAGTTGGATGGGTGTCGGAAAATGAGCCGAGGTCCGCCGTTCCAGCGAGCGACTCGCAGTAGGCCATTCCACTGCCGCGGGCAACAATGCTGGGGGACAGGCGGTGGCCTGGGCCGAAATGTCGGCCGGCGGAGCATCTGACGTACCGGGGCGCCCGGGCCACCCTTTGCACCTAAGGTACTGCTCTCTGCAAAGATCTCCACGTTGCGGCGGGTACGAGTGCCTCCATCGGCTCTCCACTGACTTTCCGTTATCAAAGACCCCGACATTCGAGTCTGAATACCGACCAAACCTCCGTCCGCCCTGCAGGTCCCCTCCTGTGGCTTGCCCGACCTTAATATTACCACATCATAGTCACGGCGTCAGAACTACTTTTGGGGACGTCGGCGACCATCTTACAAACCATATCTGTCATGCATTGCACTCTGCATCAACACTGCGGGTGAACCAGCTTACCTCAGATGGTGTGTCACCTCGACAAGCGAGGTCCCGGCCTCATCCCGGCGGGAAGCGTCAACACTGATTGCTTGGGACGAACTCAACGCGACCTCCAGCGCCCTCTACGCTCCCTGCTTCGGATATGGCCGCGCGCGCCAGTCCCCATTCTGATGCTGGTTCCCTTCTTCTTGTCTCTATCGTCACCGCTGCTTGTCGGGCCTATGTACTCCAAGCGATACTCGAACGACGATTCGCTACCTTGACCTACCGGCATGCCAGAGCCTGCAGCTACACCCAGACAGGAAGCACCCTCTACGCAACCACCAATACGTTGCTGACTTTAAGAACTGACCGCAGCCCAGATCACATCTACTCGTCCCCCTGATTGGCCATTGCCCGGTCATCAAGATGAGAATCTAAGTCAAGCTTATGTCGAAACCCCTTCCCCCGGTCCCAAAAGTCGGGATGGCTTTGCAAAAGAGCTGTTATGGCTGTGCCGGCTCGTACGACCTGTCTTCCGGTGCAGAAGCGTGGCGTTCTTTGGTCCCCGCCCTTTGCTCTGGAATCTTCATTATCCCGCTTTTTGAGCATGATGGTTGATCTAGCTATCGGACTTAAGCGATACCCTTGGCTGAATCGTGGCGCATGTTTGCTTCATGGAATTCTCACGATGTGGTAACGTTACTCAGTCACAATTTGGATCATGAGCGAGCAAGCCTGGCAGCAGGGAATGCTCTGATTACAGCCCCCGAGGAGGTTCGGAGCTCTGCCAGGCGTCTGCGCCAGCTGACAGCACGGGAAGTCCGTCCCAAAGTTGGGTTCTCCCTGGTATCACGCAAATTTCCCCGTTCCTACATCCATCATGTATCAAACGGTTGTTGGCCGTTTCAAGCCAATCCTTCTTGAACACAATATCGTGAATTTTGGGTGCCATAGAAGTTTCACGCGCTCCAGCGTCTCGGAGAATGAATCGGAATCCACTACTCGGCTAGACATGACTTTGAGCCAGCTCTTAGGGCTGACGGGAAAAGCGGGAAGGCTCAGCCTAGGCAACGTGCAGCAGGCTGATTAGCAAGTGCTACACGTGCAGGATAACTAAGACCCGTTTCAACCAGGTGTACATCCTAACGTTATTTGTCCAATCAACCGGAGCGTGGTGGTGTTGTTGGACCAGCCTCGACGTAACCCAGCCCCGATACGGACCCTCGACAGAAGCTTACCAAGCTGCTTCTATTTTTCACTCTATGGCTCAAAGACTCATATCCACGCCATTTCGTCCTTCAAACCCCATACAGGCGAGGGAATAATGCCTGACCAGGCTCTCAACATGTGCGGAGTGGCGGCGGACATGGGCCTCCCGCAGCAGTCGGTGCTGCTCATACCGACTTTACTCAGGCACTCACACCTTTGCCCGTTTTGCTCTTGCGTCACTGCATTGCTTACCTGCCAGAACCGTTTAATGGGAAAACGTAACATTGAGGCATCCGGCCGAGTTGACCAGGGTTGAGAGTGCTCCACGACGCACCTGCCGTCGTCTTCATCATCCTACGAGTTACATAAACAACGCCAACCCTCGCCGCTCGACTTCTAATCATCACGAGGCCATCGAACGCTCCAGAACAATCAACTTCTTCTTTCTTTGATCTTACCTACGAAGAACAAGCTGTGGCCAGACTCGCGGTACACAAGATGGAATCCGAGACGACATCCAGCCCGGGGTCAGCCAGTGGCATGACGGATTTCCAACCGCGTGCCGGCGCTACGAGGTCCAAGGCCACCATTCGAGCATCATTGGCCTGTGTTCCATGCAGGTCCAAGCATGTCAAGTGCGACTCAGCTTTGCCTGCTTGCCTTCGATGCCGCTTAGAGGAAAAGACGTGTTACTATGCCAAGTCCAGGAGAGGCATTCGAGATCCCAAAAAGCGAAGCCTTATCAACGATCCCATTGGACCCCCTTCAGCTCCATCGGAGACCGCGACATCATTTCCCTCTCCAGAACTGGCCAACTTTGACTTTCCCATCAACGTAGTCGACAGGCTACCGGGAGGTTGGGCGCTGAACAAGGCACAATTCCCCGACCCTAGGACGGCCTCGCCAACTTCATTCTTGTTCGACCTCTATTTCACCAACTTCCACGACACACACTCGTGGCTTCTACCCAAGCCCCAGCTCCTAAGCCATATCCGGTCTGACCCTAAGTCCTTTCACTTCCTCGCCAGCTGCATCACCTATGTGGGATCTCTCTTTTCTAGAGCCATCTCTTCGGAAGAGTTGAGAGAGAAAGCGTTCAGTCTGGCTAGCGGAGGGCTCCCAATGACTCCTTGGACGGTCCAGGGGCTTCTCGTCCTAAGCGTGGCGGCCTTTGGAGAGAACCGAGTGGATTTAAGCAACGGCTGGATGGATGCGGCGGTTCAGATGGCACTTGACCTTGGAATGCACGAGAGGGCATTTGCAGATGCCGAGCCAGATCTATCCATGGCCGAAAGCTTCCGCAGAACATATTGGGCACTCTATTTTCATGGCAACATGCGAGCGATGCGCGAGGGCTTGCCGAGTTTCACCCTCCTTGGGGTCGTGGCAACCACGGGACTGCCTTGCGAAGAATGGGAGTATCAGTCAGGAGTAAGTGGACTGTTACCTTTCTCTGGTACGCGAAGCTGACTGCGAAAAGGAAATACCACAACCCATATCTCTGGCACAGTACGACGCCAGGGATCCCATGGACGATAGAAGCTATTCCTCGTGGACTTACTTGATCGACCTCTGCCGGCTTTGTGGGGAGTTGATTCTCCCAATGTCTACGCTGCCTCGTGAATTATTAGCAAATACCGTCGACCGAGCCGATTCCAGACTGGTCGGATGGCTGATCAGTTTGCCCAAGTGGAAGCAACAGTTGGTCGATTCTGGTGGCGCTGTAGATATGATTCTCTTCCATGCAATGGCCTACGCTCACAGGTATGTGACTGACCCCTATCTGCTTCTGGTCCAGGCTCCTGACGTAATGGTTTCAGTTTGAGGATAAGAATGCAGCTGCCCCTCGGAGCCTTGGATCTCGGTATCCGAGATCTCTTGAGTCTTGGTCCGCTCTTCAAGACACGCGAGTCACCACCGTCTCGGAATCCAGTATCTCACACTGCGCCATACCAGTGGCTCGAGTGCTCGACAGCGCTCCAAGCAGGACTTTCAACCATCGGCTTGTTCAACTTTTCGCTGCCTCCAGCCAAGTACAGTCCGGCTTGCATAATCGGACTACGAGGGGCTGCGCTGCCCCTACTCGACGCAAAGATGTATGGGGCAGTCCAGTCGCCCGCCTTGCGAGAGAAGCTTGACCTCCTGTTGGGCGTCTTGAAGGTTGCCGGAGAGATGTGGCCCATTGCGAAGAACATTGGTAACGAGGTGAATGACTTGCTGAGAGACATGGACGCCACGAGCCACCGTAACATGGTCCCGCACTTTGACCCGTGTCTAGATGCCTTCATCAACGACATGACATCTTCGGGGAATGCGGAAGAGCCTAGTATGTTCGCTTTTTCCGAACCACGGACCGCGGACGAAATGCTTCACTGGAGTACGGGCTTGACTGGAACATTTCAAGTCTGAGAGAAGGTCGGCTTGGCGACTACGAAAGAAGGGGAGATTTCCACATGTTGTGTTATATTTTCTTCGATTTGTCATGTTCAATGTTTGTTTCATGAAGGAAAAAGCGGTTTTTGTCAACGTCGAGCAATCCAAGCTTTTTGCGATTGCTACAGTCTGATATTTCAAACCCGACAGGAAGAGGAGTTATGGCGTGCCTATATATACCACAGAAACAAAAACAATTAGGAGTTTGCTCTTCATAGTCATTTGAGAAATACATGCTTAACAAATCGCAACAAACGTTCTGTATCAGGGAATGCGCAAGAGGGGGTAGTGTCTGACAATGCGGCCGGATATCAGCCGAAGAGCAAACTGTTCTGACCTCGACGAGCTGCTTGGCGAGGGTTTGAAGGCACAGAAAAGGTAAGGTAGGTGATGCAAGATGCAGTTGAAGAGGTAGTGTGGCACATGCTTCCTCCCGCCCATGCTCAAGCAGCTAGGCCCATGCTCGAAATGCTGCTTCTGGAAGTCAGCGACGGTAGGACAGGAAATTCCATGCAATATCAGCCGAAGAAACCTTCTTTTTGTACCTGTAAGGTATGTACCCAAGTTTATAACTACCCCAGGCACCTACCTACCTTAGGCAAGCAAAGTAAAGCGCGCAGATTTGCCTCACGTCGTCCTTCTTTCCCTTTTGAGGTGTGGTGATCCTGGGCTGCTTGCCGTTTCCATTTGCACAGTGCACCGTTTCTTCAGCGCCCCACTACCCCGCGATGGGCGCCCTGTGCCAACCCGGAACCTAACTGTGAGAGTGTCCCAACGCGCCAGTTAGTGAGTTGCCCCGCCACAGGCGATAACGCCTGGCGTGCCTAAATTTCCTACCGCCTCCCCGCCGCCTTTTCCATACGAGAGCCTCCTTCCGATTCGAACGTCATTACGTCGACCTCTTTGGGACCAACAAAACCGGTACCGACGTCTTGGTCGCTCACCAGGAAGACCGCAACGATGAGCTTCGCTATTGAGGTGCCCGGCGATGCCAACCCTCTCAGCCTGCAGGAGCTCTGCAGAGCCCTCGAGTCTGCGACCTCGACCGACTATGCCCGTAGACAGGCCGCTGGCCAACAGCTCACATCGTGGGAAACCGAGAAGGGTTATTTCTCCTCCTTGCAGGTAAGTAGCTTCCCCAATTAGCTTCTCTGACTTGGCACCATAAGCTAATGTTCCTTACCGCAGACCATCTTCCTGGACAAGTCCCTTCCCTTCGACATCCGATTCCTGGCCGTGATCCAGCTCAAGAACGGCATCGACAAGTGCTGGCGTCTGCTCTCAAATATCAAAGGCGGCTTGGATCCCGAGGAAAAGAACCTCATTCGACAACGCTTGTTCCAGGGTACACTGGAAGAGGAGGAGAAGGGCCTGTCGCTGCACAACTCTTTGGTTACCGCCAAGGTCATTAGAATTGACTACCCTCAACACTGGCCGGATGCCCTGTCCAACATTATTGGTCTTGTCAGAGGCTCCAAGGATGGCAATCAACAACATTTGCACGGTTCTCTGCAGATCCTGCTCCGCGTTGTCAAGGAACTGGGCACTGCTCGTCTGCGGAGATCGCAAACGGCACTCCAATCCGTCACTCCTGAAATTGTGTACTTGCTTGGAGAAGTTTACACGGAGAAGTCGGCAGTCTGGATGGGATTCCTCACAAAAGGACGTGGCGACGAAGATGAGGCCGACTTGGCCATGCTCATCAGCCTGATTTCTCTCAAGATACTGCGCCGCCTGCTCGTTGTTGGCTACGAGTCACCACATAATGACAAGACGGTTCAGCAGTTTTGGACTGTGTCACAAAACCATTTCGGCCAGTTCCTCGGTTTTGTGAGCCACGACTCTCACGTACCGGCCCCTTACCAAGATACCGTGGGAAAGCACCTCTTGCAGTTTACCAAGCTTCACATCGACATGTCCGAGTCACACCCTGCCAGCTTCGCTGTTCTTCCTAACTCTCTACCCCTTGTACACGCATACTGGGACCTGGTTGCCAAATTCGCCGAAGTCTTCGAGAAGTCAGGGGGAATTCGCCAGTCATCCGGTGACTCTGGACAATCAGAGTCAAAGTCCAAGGTGGAGGGCCCCTTGCTGGAGAGGCTCGCGCTTAGAGCCCTGCTCTTGATGAGATCATGTTTGAGGATAGCGTTCTACCCAAAGCAAACCTTCAAGTACAAGAGCACAGAGGCCAAGAAGGACGAGAACGATGCTGTGGCCCTCATTAAGCAGGAGCTTCTCAAGGACGACTTCGTGGTTCAAATGGCAAACATTATCATCACACATCTCTTTGTTTTCCGGAAAGCGGATCTGGACGCCTGGGAAGAAGAGCCAGAGGAATGGGAGCAACAAGAGCAGAGTGAAGGCAATGCATACGAATGGGAGGTGCGCCCCTGTGCCGAGAAACTCTTCTTGGACCTTCTCGTCAACTTCAAGCAACTCATGATACCCCCCCTCCTTTCCTACTTTGAGACTGCGACAAACCCACAAGCAGATATCGCTACCAAGGAGGCAGTGTATACTGCTTTGGGCTTGGCCGCACCGAACGTTGCCAATCACTTCGACTTTGATGCCTTACTGGTTTCTACTGTTGTTCAGGATGCCCAGCAGCAAGGACCTCTTTACAAAGTCCTCCGCCGCCGAATCGCGATCATGGTCAGCCAATGGGTCACTGTCAAAATCGCTGATGGTAGCAGACCACTAATCTACGAAATGTTCCGTCATTTCCTTAATCCTTCCGATGCTACAAACGATGTCGTCGTTCGTATTACCGCCGCGCGTCAACTTCGATGGATCGTGGATGAGCTTGCTTTCAGCGCGGAAGCTTTCCTCCCTTATGCCGCCGATGTACTGAATGAGCTTCTTCAACTGCTTCAGAATGTTGACATCGACGAGACGAAGCTGGCTGTTTTGGAGTCCATGCGCATTCTGGTGACGAGACTGGAGCATCATGTTTCCCAGTTTGGAGATTTCATCATGTCTAGTCTTCCAAGCATCTGGGAGAACTCTGGAACAGAGGAGTACATGATCAAGCAAGCCATCATTGCCATCTTCGCCGCCTTAGTCATGTCTATGGGCAGTGATTCTCAGAGATATCAGCACTTGATGGTCCCTCTATTGTCAGAGGCTGCAAAGAATGGCTCTGATCTCCACACATATTTGATTGACGAAGTTCTAGATCTGTGGAACTCGGTTTTGATGCAGAGCAACCCTCCTGTCTCTGCTGACATTATGAGCATAGCAGAGCTTTCCCTGCCTCTTCTGGAGTACCAGACTGAGACCGCAGCAGTAGCCCTTTCGGTCGTTGAGTCTTATATCCTTTTGGGTACGCAGGCGGTCCTCGAGGACAGACTGCGACGGCCATTTTTGCAGGCTTTATCCGGGGTCCTCGACTCCAAGAGTCGGGAACAGGTTCGACAGGGCACGGTCTGCATCGAATATATGATTCGTGCTGCGTCTGAGCTGGGCGGAGCCAATGGCACGTCGGTCATTATCCAAGATATGCTGGAGACTGGATTCCTCAAAAAGATCTTGGAGAACCTTCACAATGCCTGGGAGGCCAACCAAACCACTGGACCGAACAAGAAGGTTAGCAAGCTGAGCACCATAACAGAGCGCGACTACTTTGCGATCCTTTCTCGACTGATTATTGCCGACCCGGCGCTCTTCGTCACGATGCTGTCATCGTTTGGGCCCGTGGAACATGTCTGGGCCTGGCTGAGCGGGGAGTGGTTTTTCCATCTCGATGGTGTTGATCATCTTGAGCGACAGAAGTTGTCCCTTCTAGCTCTGACGCGTCTCCTGGAACTTCCTCAACCCATGCAGAACTTGGCTCTGGCCAAGCTTCAGGACTACTTCACACTATGGACAGGCACCATTTCCGAACTTCAGGACGGCTTGACGGATGGGACCGACTCTCTGATTTGGTCAGAGATGGAGCCCAATGATTATGAGACGCCGAAAAGCCTGAAGGAGACGGAATGGACCCAAAAAGACCCCATTCACACGGTCAACGCCATGTACTTTGTCAAGGAGCGCCTTCAAGATGTGGTCCAGCGCTCAGGAGGCGAACAGCAATTCGAGCAGGAGTGGGCCATCAATGTGGATAAGGACGTACTGCAGAAGTTTTGGAGTTTGACCCAGGTGACGGGAAGTGCATAGAGAGGGCGGCAATATTTGTTCGCTTGTTTTCGGGTTGCGAATCGGACATATGGGAAGGGATGATTACGAATGCATGAACACAAAGAGATAGAGGGGGCGTACGCCAGCTTCCAATCAGTAGAAGCCTAAACAAGAGAATATACCACAAGTGCAAAGGTACCCAAGTTGATTTCTAAAAGTCTGTAATATCCCGCGTTGTTGCAATTGTCCGCTCGCCGCTCTACAACTTACTCTGGCCGTCCTGGGGAACCTTCACGACGACCTTGCCCCACGTGCCTCTGCTACCCAACGCTATCAAGGCATCCGGAATACGGTCGAGTCCAACGAACTCTTCGTCTGTGAATTCTGTGCCGCGCAGCTTGCCCTCGGCGACGAGCTTCATGATTCCCTCCCAGACCTTGACCACAGTCTCCTTCTCCCTCACGGCGTATTGGCCCCAGAAGATGCCCACAAGACTGATGTTCTTCAAGAGAACCTTGTTCATAGCGACCTTTTCGATCTTGCCAGCCGCGAAACCGATGATGAGGATGCGGCCGTTCCACGCGGTACACTTTGTGCTGGCGTCGACCATGCCAACGGGGTCGTAGACAATGTCGACACCGCGCCCGCCGGGGGTGAGCTTCTTCACCTGCGCGGGCCACTCGGGATCGCGGTAGTCGACGACGTGGTCGGCGCCGAAAGACTTGGCGACGTCGAGCTTGCGCGGGGTGGAGGCGGTGGCGATGACGGTGGCGCCGAAGGCCTTTGCGACCTGGACGGCGGCCAGGCCGACGCCGCCGGCGGCAGCATGGACGAGGACGATGTCGCCGGGCTTGATGCCGGCGCGGACGACGAGGGCGCCGTAGGAGGTCGGGGCGGTGATGAAGAGGCCGGCGGCTTCCTGGAAGGACCAGCCGTCCGGGACGGGGAGGAGCTCCTTCTCGCGGGCGACGCACTTCTCGGCGAAGGCGCCTTGTGTTGCGCCGAAGACGCGGGCGCCGACGGGGAATTTGGCCTTGGCCGGGGCTTTTAGGACCGTGCCGGCGAATTCGCAGCCGGAGGTCCACGGAAATGCTGGGTTGGGTGTGAGATGGGAGGTTTATGCATGAGACGGCAGGGTGGCTTACGGGGCTGGGTTTGGTATTTGCCTTGGATCTGGAGGATGTCGAAGAAGTTCGCGGCGGTGGCGTGGACTTGGATGAGGTATTCATCGTCCTTCTTGGGGACAGGCTCCGGGAGTTCTGTTACACGGAGCTCCTTGGGAGACTGTTGAATCGAGCGTGTGAGTTTTCTCGATTATTCATGTGAGCCGTGTCTGCGTCGGTGAGCGTACCTTGACATATTCCCTAATTTGGATGCCGCGCATTGTGATGGATGTTGGCTGTCTAGATCGCCTACTAAAGGGCACAGGGAATGGAGGGAGATTCAATTGAAACTTGGAATTGGCGGTATACGAAGTTGAAGTTTCACTTAAGAGATAACCGGATGAGCTGGAGATGTCTGCGGAGGAAGAATTCAATGAAGTTCAAAGCTTTAGATGTGATTTAGTGCAATCTCTCGGAGCTTATACCCAGCTGGTTGCTACCCCAGACGGACGGTCTCAGAGACGCCGAGGGGGAGGAGAGCCGAGGCATAATCGGTGGGTCGGTGTCTGAATTCCGGGGGAGAAAGCTGGGGCTCGAGCCACACTGATGTTGCTCGCCGGCTGCCCTCCCCGCCACGTTTCCGCTGTTGTGTTGGCGTCATATCCAGCTACTGCACCTGCCGTGGCGTGTGGCGACGACGGTGATGGATTCGTGGCTAGTGTGTCACGGCATGCTGTTGATGGGATTGAGATTCGCACACGACGTGTCGGAACAGTGCTGTTATGGACAGATAAAATGAATGTCAGTTGGGTGCTGTAGTTCACGAGACGTTGGTCAAGAACCAGCTTCCCAGGTTAATTCGCTTGAGATACCTCAGTTAGATCAGAGGAAGAATAAAAAACGTGGCCACATGCTGGTGATATTTGGCATCAGATGGCATTCTTACGTGACCATCAAATTGAATACAAAATCGATGTGGAAGGCCATGGATGACGATGGAAGCGATGACTCTGAAGCACCCTTAGGCTGCTTTTAGTTGGAGCTAGGGGTGTTCACTGCCTGCCTGTTCGACCCTGGATAAGGTACCTGAGTAGAGGTATCGTGGTAGCGAATCCGGGGACCCTATTGCGACAAACTCAATGACCATTGACAGATGCGACTGACGAGTTGCAAGAGTTCTGTTCGGGCTGATCTGCAATGCAAAGCCTCCAACGGGTAAGCATGGAAGAGATAAAGAAAATGGTATGTTCACAGTCCCTCAGTCGAGTCTGTGTGTTGCTGCAACGCGGACAGCGGATGGACGGGAACAGCAGCAGCAGCAGACGGTCCAGATCGCGGAACCACAGCGCCATTGGCCCACCCGAATGCACCTGTCGCACTGGAACCCTGACCGAGCCAACCCTGGCACTCCCGCCCCACAAGCGTTAGCGTGGTGCGGCAAGGAGCACCCAATTCGTGAGCTTCCCACTGGCGAACGCTGCGCCGCACAGCGCCCACTGTCCACTGGACCAGTGTTGCCCCTCTTCGGCTCCAGCCCACACTGCGAGTGCAAGTGTCCAATCCACCGTCACCAACCACTGACGTCCAATCTGCGACCGCAGCTACCGACCGTCCGGCCACCTACCTTTGACTGCCTAATAACTGATCCTCTTCCTCCTACCTCTACCTCTGTCCGGCTTCACGTACCTCGTCTACCCACCTTGCTGTCTATTCTCCGAGATCCCAACAGCTCCTTCTCCGTTGGCCATCCTTCCTCTCATCTTTCTTCCACCCTTTTCTTTGCCTCTCTACCTCTCCGCGACTTGCTCACCCACGAGCAGCCACATCGTCATTGCATTCGCGATACCCCGAACTCGAAATACCTAGCATACATCCAACAACACACAAGCTTCATCTACGCAGCATCGACACTGGACAAGGCCATGGCCGACAACGCAGAGGGCACCAGTGATGCCCAGGTCACCTTCAAGGTGAAGACGGGCCAGGATAGCAACCACGTCATCACCATGCCCGAGTCGGCCACCGTGCTCGACCTCAAGACCAAGCTGGCCGGCGACGACTTTGAGAAGGTTCCCGTTGAGCGCCAGCGCCTCATCTACTCTGGCCGTGTCATGAAGAACGACGATAGCCTCGCCACCTACAAGATCAAGCCTAACAACACTATCCACATGGTCAAGAGCGCCGCCAGCAACTCCGCGCCTCAGCCGGCCGCTTCCCCCTCCGCACCCCCCGCTCCTGCTGTTCCTACCAACATGCAGGCCGGTACCGCCAATAACCTTCTCGCCGGCCTCACAGGAGCCAGATACGCCGGTCATATCAACCTGCCCAGCCGCGAGACTTTCGGAGCCGATGGAGGTGTAAGTCCTTACCCACCCAATCTTACAATCCAACACCCCGTTGCATGAGCTAATATTATCGCTTCAGATGGGCGCCCCGCCATCCGACGACCAGCTGGCCCAGATGCTGGCCGATCCTTCGATGCTCCAGACGATGAATGCGGCCCTCGACAACCCGGACTTCATTAACTATATGATTCAGAGCAATCCTCATCTACGCAACGTTCCTAATGCCCGCGAGATCATTCAGTCACCTTTTATGCGCCAGATGATGACGAACCCGGACATGCTCCGTAACGTAATGAGAATGCAACGCAGCATGGCCGGAGGAGGTGGCAACACGGCCTTCCCAGCACCCGGCGCCACCGACACCACCCCGGCTGAAGCTGCGGCCGCTGGCCAGCAAGGAAACGCCCAGGCCAATCCATTCGCTGGCTTCCCAGGCTTCCCTGGTATGCCTCCCATGGGTGGCGGTATGGAAGGATTGGGTGATCTCAGTGCGCTGTTTGGCCCTGATAGCCCATTTGCGCCTCCTCAACAAGGCGCGGGAGCTGGAGCCGGAGCCGCCGGTGCTGCAGGCACCACGACGGGCGAGCAGAACACAGCCGGAGCCACTGCTGGAGCTACAGCAAATGCTCAGGGTACGCAAGGCGGCAACACCACGAGCCCGCCTCCAGCCAACCCCTTTGCTGCCCTTTTCGCCCCCCCTCCCTACGCGGGTCAGGGCCAAGGTCAGGGTCAAGGCCAGGGACAGACACCGGCGAACCCCTTCGCCTCTCCGTTTGGCCAGATCAACCCCGAGATGATGCAGCAGATGATGAACATGTGGGGACTTGGTGGTGCAGGCGGCGCAGGCGCAGGTAGCTCTCCTGCTCCCCCGGACAACCGTCCTCCCGAAGAGCGCTACGCTGAGCAGCTGCGCCAGCTCAACGACATGGGCTTTTTCGACTTTGATAGAAACGTGGCAGCTCTAAGAAGGAGCGGCGGCAGTGTGCAGGGTGCGATTGAGCATCTTCTCAGCTCTTAATGACTGTGGAGGCATGTTATTCGGGGGAAAGCAGGGAGGTCGTGCCATTTGGCTAGGAGAGCGTCGCAAGAGGACACGCTTTAATGGTTGATAGGCCTTTTGAAAGGGAGAAGCACATACCCTACCTAGTTGCCTTGGGCCTTAGTACTGGCATTTTCGAGGAGACAGGAAATTGACCAGGCACGACGTTTATGACTGTTCGCTTTACGTTTCTACACGGACGGCTTGGAGTGAGGATTGCTGTAATAGTAGTTCCTCGTGTTTTCACATTGACAAATAAAATTATCATCCAGTGCGATTCACTTAACATGATTCGTGATATTGCTATATCATTTAGTTTTGGGGTCGGCATGATGGCTGAAGTGACATTCGTGGATAAGGCAGCTCTGATGGGGCGATTAGTCCACACAGCTCAGAAAACTGCACCTCAACGAGACTAAGTTTCCTCCATCAACTCATCGGTCATCCCGCTAATACAGCTGGGATTCTACAGAGAACAACGACGAATGTTTTTCATCTGAAAATGTAGCAAGAATGATTCAGGGCATTTTCTATGCAAGGTTTCTGCCCAAGGAGGGTAAGTGATGGATCTCCTCAGACCCAAATCATCGCCTAGAGCCTCATCAACCACGTCCCTCACCTACATCTTGCCGCTGACCGTCTGCCACTCGATAGGCCCGCACATTGTGGCTCAGTCACCGCCGGGATGCATCACATCCGCGCCCGGCGCGACGAAGCCGCCGCTCATCGACTGGGACGTGATGCAGGAGTACATCATGCCGCGCAAGGCCTTCTTCAATCGCTACATGACGGTGCAGGACCCGGAGGGCAAGTACGCCGTCCTGGGGTTCCCAGTGCTGATCCCGCATGAGAAGTACCAGCGCAACGAGTTCATCTTCAACTTTGGCATCGTGCTGGATGTCGACGCGGACCAGGCGCCGTACGAGCCGGTGGTGCGGCGGCTCGCCGTCACGTTCAAGGAGATGGAGAAGCAGAACGAGTATCTGAGCCAGGAGGGCTCCGGGGGAGGGGAGCGCAGACCGATTGAGACGCTCTTGGAGATTGTCAAGGAGGATTTGAATAATTACGGCGAGTGCATGATTCCCGTCGGTGAGTTGCTCATATCATCTTCCGAAGCGAGTCGTTGCTGGTCTACTGACACTGCCCCCCCGCAAGACGACGCCAACACAATCAACATGAAGCTCTTCCCGCACCACGCCACCCCGCCGCAGGTAAAGGGCTGGCACGTACCGGTCGCCAAGATGAAGTTCGCCGAGATCGTCGACCCGACGTGGGACCTGACGATGCAGAAGGTGGTCGCGCACATTGACGGCGTCAACGACGTACGGCGCATCGCCTGGGCCGCCGACGTGTCGCTGGACCTCGCCAAGCTCGCGCTGCGCCACCTGCTCTACTACGACACCGTACTGCTGCTGGACATGTTCTTCTTCGGGTCATGCTACGCGCCGCGGCCGGGGATCCACGACTTCGTCGCGGACCGCGACGGCATCGTCGACGAGTGTGCGGCGTACGTGTGCATCCACGCCCGGCAGCGCATCAGCAACTTCATGCTGATCAAGCTGATGACGAGCTTCTGCGTGGGCAAGAGCGTGATGGAGTGGCTGCGCGGACACCAGGAGGCCGGGTTCGACGTGCTGCGGTATGTAGATGTGCGCCGGCTGGTGCAGTTTGGCGTGATCAAAGGGTGTCTTTACCGTGCGCACAAGTATGTGGTCTCGAAGCAGTACCTGGCGGCGCTGGCGACAGGGCAGGCGAGGCCCAAGGCCGGCGGGGATCCTTTGCAGAAGTATACGGACGGGTGCCACACGTTTGACCAGATCATCACGGAGAACAACCTGACGGATGCAGAGATTATGGAGAAGCTCAAGGCTCTGCCGGTGCCGAGCGGGGATTTGACGGTGTTCTATCGTTGAGGTATCTGATTTGGAATTCATGATGGGAATGGTATTTTTACATTTTATTTAGCGTGTTATACATGTCAGTGTACAGGCATTGTACATGGTATCGTAACTTCTAGAGCTCCAGTCAACTCTTTCTATTTGGCCTTCATCAGCTCGTCCCGCACCTTTTGGCGCTCGCTCTTCGTAGGAAATCTGATGTCCGGATTGTTCACAACGGCAATCTCCGTCTCCTCCTCGGCCAGCCTCTCCGCTACCATGCGGTTCAGCTCCTTGCGGGACAACCTTACTCCATCCCTCTCGGCAATCTCCCGCAACTTCTGGATCGTCTTGCGTGTCTTGCCCTTGAAGGGCTCGCCGGGGTACTCCTTGCCGCTTTCATCCCACTGCAAGTCGGTGACGACCTCGATGATGCGCACGTTGTGCTTGCCCTTGCGGAGGATGAGGACGCGGCCGTCGATCAGGAACTTCGGCACGTCTTCGGGGAACCACATCTTCACGGGAGTCCAGTCCAGGTTACCCGGCACGAGCCCGCGCATGTCCTGGCCGGGGGCCGCGGCGACGTAGGCGGCGCCCTGCTTGGCGATGCGGTGGCCCTCGCTGACGGAGGAGGCCAGGCCTGCGGCGTAGAGAATGCGGGCAATGCCCTGTCTGTAAATGAGGTCGTGCGGCAGCTGCATGTCCATCTTCGGGGCGTTGTTCAGGTTAACTTGCTTGCCCTCGGTGACCTCGCCAGTGGGGGCTTGGCCTTTGCCGTGAATGAACTTGTGCTGGTTCTGTTCGCGGACTGCGACCGAGGCGCCGTGTACGAGGAAGACGACCTCGAAGGCGAGGGTGTGCTGGGCGATGCGCTTGGAGGGGTCCTCCGCGTGCTCGGCCATGGTCTTCTGGATCGACTCGATGGGCATGAAGGTGAAGAGGCGGAGGAGCTTCTCGACCTCGGCGTCGGAGCGTCTGACAAAGTAGCCGTAGAGGTCGAAGGGGCTGGTGTTCACGCCGTCGAGCCAGACGGCGTTGCCGGCGCTCTTGCCAAACTTGGCGCCGGAGCTGTCTGTGAGGAGGGGCACTGTGAAGCCGATGGGGTCATCTGTCCAGTTGCCGGGCATCTTGAAAAGGGGGTTTTCCTCGGAGTCGCGGATCGTCTTGACGGCGTCGATGCCGGCGACGATGTTGCCGAACTGGTCGGAGCCTCCGATCTGCATCTGGACACCCATCTTTTGGTAGAGGTGCCAAAAGTCCCAGCCCTGCATCATGGGATAAATGAACTCGGCGAGAGACATACCGTCGCCGTTTTCCATCTTGTTCTTGACGCTGATTGTCCCAATTAGCAATAACCCCGCTGATTGAGAGCGGCCGTGTGTACTTACGTGTCGCGGGTCAGCATAGGCCCTATCCGCATGTAACGCCCCAGTCTCTTCATCACTTCATACAGTGAAAGACTCTGCCACCACATGTTGTTGTTCACCAAGGCCCTGTTCGCCGATTTGTCCAGCTTTATGCCATGTTTCTGGGCAAGCGCTTCCACGTTGGCCCATATCTTCTTCATCTGGTAGTGGATCTTTGTGATGTTTACTGATATTTCGCTGTTCGCCATAACCTCGCGCGTCTTCAACCGGCCCGTGGGATCGCCTATTCTACCCGTCGCACCTCCAACCAGCGATACCGCAGGATATCCTTGCAGCCACATCCACATCAGCGGCATGAAGGGCAGGAGGTGGCCGACGTGGAGTGACGGGGCGGTCGGGTCGACACCGACATAAGCGCCTATCCGTTTCGTTCGCAAGAGCTCTTTGACTTGTGGTGTACGTCTGGGTCTGGGGTTAGCCATCGGCCTTGGAGGGGTTCGAGGGGGAAGAGGGCGCCAAGATGCTCACCCTGCGACGTCCTTGATGAAGCCACGCTCCTCGAAGAGATCCCAGATGTGAGGAACTTCTCCTTTCTTGATTAGTTCAGCACGGTTCTCCCAGTCGAGTTCCGCATTCTTGCGCTTCTCGAGCACCTTTTGTGTGATCCATCTTTGCTGATTCTGCAACAACTGCACCGCCGGTACCCTGGCGCATCGACTGCAGATGTTCCGCCGTAATTCGGGGAGGCGGGGTCCCAATGACGACAACATCGTTCAGGCGAATTCGTCGTGTAAGCCGCTTTTGAACGCTTCACTTGTCAACACATTGAAAAGGACGAAAGAGACCGACTTGGTGGGGACCCTATGTCGAATGTTCAACCTGCAATCGCCCCGGAATTGACTGACACATCCACATCCACCCCGGCTGGCTCTTCGTTGCGCGACGAGACCCTCTGCCAAAAGTTTCCTTATCGGAATCGCGATAAGACATTGCCCGCATCTTTGTTCCTCCGGATCCCCGCAATTCTTCAGATGGACCCCCGAAGAGGTCCCGTCGTTGCCCGCGATCCGAATCACGTGGAGCATTTCCAGCGTTCGGGAGAATCTGGCCAATCACAGCACACTCGAAATAAGCTCCTCGGCAATCCCATCATCGAGAGTGTCGGGTCAAGTGCATCATCCACTCTAATTCTCTCTCCCAATTCCAAGTCCAGCAAACCCTCGACGGAACGAGTCCACGAACGAACGTCCAACTTGCCACTCCGAATACCAATTGACGAGCCTTAGCGCAATCCGTTTCGGCGACATACACATTATGGCTTCGTTTGTGCGACCTGCTCTGCTGAGGCAGACGGCCATGGCTGCCCGGATGGCCAAGACTGGCGCATTCCGCTCTGCCTTCCTCAAGCCTACCGTCCAGAAGGAGTTCGTCAACAACACGACAAGAGTCGCCGCCTTCCACACCACCGCCAAGAGAGATTTGCTGCCCGTCGGCCCTCGTACGTTCTCAAACTGCATGCGCCTGGTGTACATGAGAACTGCCTGCTAATCGTTTATCCACAGAGGTTGTCCAGGGTGGAGGTACGACAAAGACCCCAAAGTCCTTGAGCCCGCCGCGAAGCGCTTCTGACCCGTGACATCTACAGTTAACGACCCTGCCCCCGTTCCTCCCCCGAGTCCCGCCCACGGCTCCTACCACTGGAGCTTCGACCGCATCCTCGCTGCCGGCCTCGTGCCCATCACCATCACCCCCTTCGCCGCCGGCTCCCTGAACCCCACGGCCGACGCCATTCTCTGCTCCCTGATCCTCATCCACTCCCACACCGGCTTCCAGAACATCATCATCGACTACGTCCCCACCCGCACGTACCCCAAGCTCCGCAAGGGCACCATGTGGGCGCTGAACGCCGCGACCGTCCTCGTCGGTCTCGGTCTGTACGAGTTCGAGACCAGCGACGTTGGTGTCACCGAGGCTGTCGCTCGCATCTGGAAGGCTTGATCGGGGCGGGGTAGCCTTGCTTGTATCTTACCAGATGTCGGAGGACACGTTTGAGTGTGAGAGTTGATGTTTAAATCATTACCTGATAGCGAAACCCCACCGATAGAATTAATGGTGGGAGAAGAGCTACGGAAGACGGCGCTTTTGGCCGGTTATTTGGAAGCTGTGAGAGGGGGCGCGGGGAGGACATGTGTACGTGATTTGGGGGCGCCACGGTTTAGAATTGGAATGGCCAGTGTACAATCACCAGTCTAGGCAAAAATTGAATTCTTTGTCAATGAACCTGGCGGGGGCATTGTGCTGTATGCCCGTGTTACACTGCGGGGGTTGTTGACGCATGCCCAGGCCGTGTAAGTGCTGAAGACGACATTCGCATGTTCAAGCCAAAAAAACTCGGCCTCCAAAGTCTGACTGGACACGATAAGCGTCTGCGATGCGGGGTCAAGTCACGTCGTTCTCTTCATTTGGATGCGATATGCTGACGTACGGTTGATCGGTTTCGCCATATCGCCGTGAAGGTGAGTCGCTTGCTATCCATGCGTTTCTGATCTTGATTTCTTGGCATTCGTTCAGAGCGAGAGGCTTCACCCTCAACTTTACTTGCTCTTTGTCATATCCAGACTCTTCTTGGCTCGCCCAATAGCCATGGTGAGGGACTTTCTGCTGAAGACCGCCTAATTTTCCTGTGTCTGCGCGGCTATATTTCCTGTGCACTTGATCACTCCTATCGAAAGCCATAGTAGCGACAGCGACGATGAGGACGAGGACGAGACTGAGGACGGATATAACGATAACGACGATAACAATAGAAGCGACGGTGGTAAAGTGATTAGAGTATAGCTACAGGTAAAGTAGTCGCTGTAGCACAGGAAAAATAGTCGGTTTCTTCTACTGCACTCTCAGACATCAAGAACCAAGATATAGATAGGACGTTACACCTTCGAACCAAACTATTAAGGATCAAGTATCAGTGCGACTTATGATCACATCAAATTGTTAGAACCTCTCACCTCAAATGGAAGACCGCTAGATGGCAATTGAGGTAGTGACCAGGATCGCCGTCATCTTGCAATCGCATTAGAAATAAGGGGTAAGAGCCTATTGCTGCAGGTGTCGTGTGTTTGTTTTCTACATCCAGCTACCATGTGAATTGATGAGGTAAAGATTGTGAGATCAGTTTCGTCTCCGACGTGCTGCTGAGGCTCAATTTTATCGGAGGGCGCTGTCAACGTCCCGAGAGTTCTAGTCGGGAAAACCAAGACGTTGAAGCCCGAAAATATGCATCTGGCCTTCAACGTGTAGCTGAAGAGCTCCAGGTGTCATGATCCCATGAGGTGTAAGTTCGCGGGCCGGATATACTGTGCGAAGACAACTGCTTCATTGATAAATCACACAGTGCAGCATTAGCTGGCCATGTTCTTTTTGTACTTCTCCTCATCCTTCTTGCCTTTTCACCATGATCTGCACTGTTTCAACCCGACCAAGTCAGTGGCTTCTTCATCCTAAACCATTACTGCTTGTGGAAAATATCCGCTTTTATGCTTTCTCCTCTACTGAAGCCTTTCAGCCATCCATGTTGGACTGTCCGTGGTAAGAGGAAATGAACATGGTCGTAGCTTCAAAGCATCGAGTATGATGCCACCGAAAGCGGCAATCGTACTTGCCAAAGATACCGGCCTCTCTGTTCCGATGGCAGTTCTTTATCTCTGAGATGGTCGTCCTGTCGGGAAGAGTCGGGGTTGCGCCTTGTATTTGGGAAGAAGTTACGATTGAGGACAGGCCATCGTGATCCTCTTCCGTTGATCGTCGACAGGGGCTCCACTGGGCATTTATCCCCTCAGACAGATGGCAAGTTCTCCTCTAACGCTCCATTTCCCCAGGCTGCTCAAACGGAGCCATGTGCGTTGGGGCCCTTCTCTTATTGGCATCGTGTCCTACCCGCCCGATCCTGGACGGCTTGCTCTTTGCCCTCGCTGATACGCAGCGCTGTGGTCATGCACCACAAGCACTACAACAAGCAATTATCCGCACCCGGTCCGGTCCAGATACCAGACGGATGACGCACACATTGTCGATTGGCAAGCTACGACAGCATTGAGATAGGTGCGTGGCGCACGCTCAGCCTCATCCATGTGAGCTTCCGGCACCAGCTATCTCGGGCTCCTCAAGGTCCAGCTTCCTGAATTGCTCCCAAGCCAGTCAATTGAAAGGTAGAAATCTCCTGTTTACGCGATAAACGCGAATCTTCTGAAAGACAATCTACGTGGCACGTCCTGCGATGGTGCTGCCGCAGCGCTGAAGGAGGAACGTGGGGGATTGTGACGCTTGGGATCAGGGGACGGCATCGCCCATGCTACTCAAACCGGGACAAGCACCCCACGAGATGGGAAGAGGCAAGCTGGTGTGTTTCGCAGATTCCCGTGCCATTGACCTCACAAGGGATTGGCGCAAGGCACGTTGGCTCAGACGAGGTCGGTTGACGAGACGCAGCGTTGACATCCAGGTGGTTTGCCCATGTGCTCTGGCCATTGGTCGACACGGGCTGCTCCACCTGCGCTTGCATGGGCATCCCACCTTGCATTCATGCACCTCACCCACCCTAGAGCTCGACAACGAGCTGGCGGGGTTGGCTGGGCTCAATTGAGCTGCTCTTGTTAGTGGGGTAGCTTCACTCAGGGTCCTAGACTGCGCCGGGGGGGTCTAATCTGCTTCACTTCTCGAGAATAGCATTTCGGTGATGCATATCTCTCAGACTACGACGCCCCCGCCTGCGTAGACGATACTGTGTCGTCTCGCAATCTACAACCATCAATGCCATGTAGATGATACATGCGCCTTGTCGAGTGGCCATTTGATAGGTAAAACCATGGAGAGGAGGTTATATATCACTCACGTTGCTCCCAATGCACGAATATTATGCCCCTGGTCTCTTTCCTCTTTCTCTAGACTTCTCTCTTCTGCCAATTCAACTTGTCCTGACTTTTGGCTTTGCTTCAACACACCCTCTCTGCTCCTGAAGAAATGAGAGAATACCATGGCTTCTCTTGGTGGTAACATTATGCCCCTGGACATGGATTTCAAAACAACCTTTGCTGGACTCAGCGCAGTCATCCTTGGCGGCCTGCTGTTTTCCAAAATTCTTCCCCAAAACGACACAAAGAGCGGCGAGGCTCCCAGCCTGTTGAGATCCTTCTCGCTCTTTTTCTACTCCTGCTTCATCAAGCCGCACGATGGCGACAAGGAGGGCAACCAACAGGGCGCCCTCGAGAGCTTCTATAAGAAGCAAGCCGGCGTCTATGATGCTACCAGGAAGCCCCTCCTGCAAGGCAGAGAGGATATGCTTGCACTTGTCGCGGCTCAGCTGAAGGCGAAGGCCCCAAAGGGCTCAAAGAAGGGAGAAAAAGAGAGGCGCATCTGGGTTGATGTAAGTCTGCGCAACACCGGTATCCGAGGTGACTAGCTGACTCTGCCGTAGGTCGGTGGAGGAACGGGCTGGAACATTGAGGCCATGTCCGCCTTCGTCAACGTCCCCGAGTTCTTTTCCAGTGTCTACCTTGTTGACTTCTCCCCCTCTCTCTGTGAGATAGCTCGACAGCGTTTCGAACGACTTGGCTGGAACAATGTCAAGGTCGTTTGCGAGGACGCGAGAAAGTTCCGCCTGGAGGATTATGAGAATGATCTTCCAAGCAACCGCATCCCTCCTCACTCGCCTGTCATGAGCTACTTCTCCAAGAAGCAAGCCGAGCATGGCCGTGCGGATCTCATCACCATGTCCTACAGCCTGTCCATGATTGTGAGTCTCGTGAATCACCTGCCATGTCTACACTGTAACTGACCTGTTTCAAAGCCCGACTATTACTCGGTCATCGAGTCGCTCACCTCGCTTCTGTCCCCCGACGGTATCATGGGAGTCGTGGACTTCTACGTCCAGTCCGAGATCGATTTTGCTTTCCGCAATTACACTGCTGGACTCGTCGGGCGCAACGTCAACTGGTTCTTGAGGACCTTTTGGCGTGCCTGGTTCGATCTCGACCGAGTCGGCCTCGAGGCCGGCCGCCGTGACTACCTCGAATACAAGTTCGGTAGCATGCTCAACATCAACGCTCGGAACACTTCACTCGGCCACATCCCTTACTACATCTGGGTGGGTTGCCACAAGAAGCCCTTCTCTTCCTCAAGTCTTCCTCACGAGATTATTGAGAAGATCGACGCGCTTGCAACCAACTCCCCTTACCTGTACCCCACCAACCAGAAGGATGCCCTGACCCGCGCCATCGATAAGGCCGCGCCTGAGATTCGCTCCAAGGCATTCATGGCTGCTATCCAGAACCTGTCTGCAAATGTTCCTCTGCCCGCCTTCTTCTACCAGAACCACCATTGGCGTATCTACTACGACGACCGCCTCCAAAAGCACACTCAGTTCAACGACGAGTACATCTACGCCTTCACGTGGGAGGACTCGCAGGTCGATGAGCGCCTGCTCAAGCTTGGCGCTGATGATGTTGTTCTGGCCATCACTAGCGCCGGTGACAACATTCTCTCTTACGCCATGCAGAGCCCTGCGAGAATCCACGCCGTTGACCTGAATCCCACACAGAACCACCTCCTCGAGCTCAAGGTAGCATCTTACACGGCTCTCCCGTATGAGGACTTCTGGAAACTCTTCGGCGATGGCAAGCACCCTGACTTCCGCACCCTTCTCCTCAACAAGCTGTCTCCGCACCTGTCTAGCCGTGCCTTCCAGTACTGGCTCAAGAACGTCCACGTCTTCACTAACAACAAGGGTTATGGTCTCTACGACACCGGTGGCTCTCGCCACGCTATCCGCTGCTTCAAATGGCTGACCCGCATATTCGGTTGCGCTGGTGCTGTGAAAGACTTCCTCGCCACCAAGACACTGAATGAACAGCGCGAAATCTGGCACACCAAGATCCGTCCCGCTCTTCTATCGAAGCTCGTCAGCACGGTTGTCGTCAGTCAGGAGAGCTTCCTCTGGTCTGCTCTTGGCGTCCCCAAGAACCAACTTGCCATGTTTGAGAGCGATCACTACGAGAGCGATGCCGTCAAGGGTCCCAACCCCATCTCTCGCAAGACCCGTTCCCACGCTGTCTGGCGCTACATGATCGACACCCTCGACCCCGTCGCCGAGGAAACCCACATCGCCACCAACAACCCGTACTACATGGTCTCCATGACGGGCCAGTTCACCCGCCGCTGCCACCCAGACTACCTCGCCGAGAAGGCCCACGCGAAGCTCTCGCGCCCCGGCGCCTTTGACGGCCTGCGCATCCACACGGATGAGATTGACGAGGTCATCAACCGCATCGCGCCCAGCACGCTGACCGTCGCCGTCGTCATGGACAGCATGGACTGGTTCGACCCCGACTCCTCAGCCGCGGCTGCCCAGATCACCAAGCTCAACCGCGCGCTCAAGACGGGCGGCCGCGTGCTTCTGCGTTCGTCAGGGCTGAGCCCCTGGTACATCAAGGTGTTTGAGGCTCATGGCTTCTCTCCCAAGCGTGTCGGCGCTCGCACCCCGGGAACTTGCATCGACCGTGTCAATATGTATGCGTCGTGCTGGATCTGCACGAAGACGGAGAACCTCCCTCCCCCGACGCCGGAGATGGACCGCGCGGGCGGCTCAGAGATTACGAGTTTCTCTCTGTAGACGTGAGTTCGTGATCGCAGATGCTACTGTTTTTGGGAATCCTATGGGTAGCGCTGGGGTTGAATGTGATGATTTATGAGAGTTGGTTTGTGCGGAATATCAAGAATGTTTCTTAGGTGTTGCTCAAGCGTTGGAAAATATACGAAAATAATGATGGTCCCTGCATTCGTTGCTTGCTGCATGTCAATCAACACTGGTGTTACCCACATGATGCCCTGTAGACGACAACGTCCAGAACTGGACGATGCCCATTCCATGTCTTTATTCTTAACCGGTGTTTAATTCATGCACTTTGGCATCCTATCATCACTTCTTGTCTTCATATAACTTGACCTCTTTTCATACTCATTCTGCATTCCATACTTTGTGTCTGTAGGTAGGGTATCTTGCCTAGGAATTCAGTAGTGGGCATCATAGACTACAACCCCCAGTTACTTAGAATGGATACCTCCTTTGGTAGTAGTTGTCTAGGACTTACAACTCAGGTTGAGCACCACAGATCGATAAAGGCCAGGAACTTAACAATATAAATACTGTCAAGGTACCTATGGTGTCGAATAGACACTGCAATGAATGCCGTAGTGAGCGGGCGCTCTTAGAAGTGGCCGTCCAGAACTCTTCCTGGTACCTTACCCCAAATCCACTGGCAAAGAAGGGGCCACCAAGTACCTTTTTGCTGGCGTCGCTGCCGTGGTACATCCCCAGACTTTGCGTTCAGGACACTACACGGGTGCGCCCATCAACTTCCAATGCAGGGGGCGCTCGACCCATACTTTTACCACAGTCAACCAATCCAAGAAGCATGCTGGCGTGCCGGGCGGCGCGATCTCGACTTCCAGTGACCCTTCGACGTCAGCTCTCGATACTCCAACCTCGACATCTCTTTCCATCTCAACGTTCGAAGACGACGACCTGCATGATCTAGCCTCATCACGAGCTGGGTCTCACTTGGGAAAACCGACAGCAGACAGCAAGCGATGCCTCCCGCAGCGAGCCAGAAGGGCACCGGCAAGAAGGCCGGGCCCAATGCCATGCGACAGCGCAGCCGCAACACGACCCCGAGCTCCGTCGTTCCATCTGCCAGCCTGCCCCCTATCGAAGCCGTCGACACCGACTATCTCGAATTACGCGTCGAACAGTTCCGTAATCTCAACTATGACGACCTTGTTGACCAGGGCGCGTCCAACGCCGTCATCCCGGACTCCAAGAGCCTTGATGGCATGATCGCTCGCCTCCAGCGCCTGCAGGAGACCATAGACAGACGGAGCAATTTCTGCGACAGAGGAATGCGCATATTGGCGAGCACCCGTAAGCAGTATATCAACGACGTCGACGAGGACGCCAAGGAAGGTGTCAAGGCCGAGGGCGATTCCAAAAAGACGGGCAAGACGAACAAGAAGAAGAGGAAGGCCGCAGATACCCTGGCACCCCAGGATGCAGCAGTCGGTAGGTCACCAACCTCTTTCGGCCTTGCCTGGCCTAGTGTCCTTTTCACTTTTTTTCGTGCTCTTGGTTTATTCGTGGGGCATGCGACACTTATTGGGATTTCACTTGTTTACCGCGAATCATCCTCGTATTCACCACCGTACTGACTTCACCCGCTGCTCCAGAGCGGTCATCCCCGCTTCGGGAATCCACTAAACCACGAAAGCTTTCGCGCGACAACGACTCGGCCAGTTCTTCCCTGTCACCCGTCGCACCCGCCACTCCGTCAGCAATGGAAGTCGACGACAAAACAAAAGCAGAGGAAAATGAAGAGGAGGAGAGCTCTGAAGACGAGGGCGCGCCGCCAAAAAAGGCGCAGCCCGCTGCTCACACTTTCGGCGACGATCCCTCAACCTTCCCCGACCCGACCGTCTACGAAATTCTCCCAACGAAACCCGGCATGTCAGCAGACGAGCTGAGGCAGATTTACTCTGTCGCCGTGTTTCCCCAGAGCGATCTGGCCGATCTCATCGCAGGAGATCCGCCCGACAAGGATTTTAGCAGCGCCAAGCCCAGTAACCAGATCAGCTTTTCGACCTTCTCGACGTACATGGAACCATACTTCCGACCATTCGCCGAAGAGGATCTAGCATTTTTGAGGGAGCGCGGCGATCGCGTGACGCCCTTCCACATGCCTAAGAGGGGCAAGAAACACTATACCGAGATTTGGGCAGAGGAGGATGGCGCCATGTCACTCGACAAGCCCCCGAACGCGCGCGAGCAGTTGGCGCCCAACCAGGCCCGTGGTGCCATTGATAACATGGACGACGAGGTGGCGGAAACCGATAAGCTGTCCGTGGGACCGCTGCTCTCGCGGCTCATGCAGGCGATGCGACCCGAAAACCGACCGCAGGCCGATGAAGAGAAGACAGGCGTCAACGGTATCACCAACGGGGACACGGCCATGAATGGTAGCGTAAATGGCGACAACGGAGATGCGCAGCAGAGTTTCAGCGACGATAAGGCGCCGCCAGTACCCCCAGCAGCCTTCATGCCGGAATCGAACTCAGAGGCATGGAAGAAGGCGTCACATCCAAAACTAGAATACACGCAGGTCGATGAACGAATCAAGCAAGAGCTGAGGCATATTGGCTTCTTGCCGCAGGAAGGAAACTTTGAGGGCGAGTACGACGGCGCATTCGACGACGAAGTCGCAGCCAGATTACGACTCCTACAAGGTCGCCTGCGAGAGCAGATGCTCATCAATGGCGCACGCAAAGCCAGACTTACCGAGCTTGTCAAAGAGCGCATGGCCCACCAGGAGTACCAAACCATTCTGGAGGATCTTGATTCCCAGGTCCAGGCCGCGTATCTGAAGAGGACGCGTACTATGGGCAAGAGCAAGAAGAACAAGCGTCCCGGCGGCGCGGGAGGCGGAAGCCATGCTGTCGGCGGCGCGGCTGGCATGGCCAGGCCGGGCATCGGCGATATGACCAAGACGCTCATGGAGCGGCGCAAGCGTTGGATCGATACTATAGGATCAGTATTCGATGACGAGAATCTGGGCAAGGTTCCGCGCAGCTCAGAGCCCGACTCGTCGATTTTCAGGGCGGGGATCATGGGTGATTTGATGAAGAAGGAGAAGGCGCAATGGGACGAGGAGGTTGAGGAAGAGTAAACGTTTGCTCTGCGATGTTCGGTGTCTAATGAATCAGTTTGACACCTGTTATGACTAGTAACTCTACTTTCTGGGTTTGGTTTCGGTGGGAGGCAGGCAATACGACTTTTCACTGGGCACAGTCGACGGCGTTTGGGCATTCATAGAAACAGTGAGAGAGAGAAGCCTAGTGCGAACGAATAAGGTGTTTTGGGAGTTATTGATAGCAACTATGGCTTGACCAGGTCAGAAGAGCAAAGATACCGGTTACTCAACCCAGAACTGCATCCACAGCCAACGTTTTGCCCATATCCAAGTCGACTACCAAGTCAGCCTCGACATAGGCGCCCCTCTACCTCCTTGAAGATACGTCTGCTTTTACTAAACACTGCCAGGCGCTGTGGGCTCGCCGTTCAATGGCCCTGCACCTCTTCAAGTCTTGCTTTTACCAAATACTGCCAGGCACCGTGGGCTCGCCGTTCAATGGCCCTGCACCTCTCCAACTCGCAATCATTGAAAGCCAGAAGCCAAATTGTCGGTCGTAAAACCCTCGAAAAGGCGGATTAAGCTCCTCGACGGCTTATCTAAACATCCACCCCTTTTGGCTTCCTTTTCTCGTTGTCGATTGCTCTAAAACGGATAAGGGTGTGGTATCATGGATTTGCTGCTCGTCCTAAGGCACTTATCCAAGCTGCCGTATTTGTTGTGAGCTGGTAACGTTAGCCAACCCCGTCGTCAAACACTCGAAAAGATGGGAAAGGGGCTACTCACTGGCTTCCCACCACGCCGCTGAAACCATGCCTCTGTTGCAACCAATGGCGGATTCAAATTGCCACGCGAGCTCGCCGTCGCGTCCGCGGTCTTTCCCACAGTAGTGAGGATACGCAGCGTGAGACCAAGCCGCGCAGCTGCAAGTCGACGATAAGCAATCGATGAAGCTTCGGAAGGGTCTACATAAGAGGGTGACACTCACTGGACTCCAAACTGTTGCAGTCCTTTCCAGAATCTGTTGCAGATCTCGCCAATGTCTGCACCGTCGGGGAGGTTTGTCGTTCTGCCTGAGTATCGGCGAGACGACGGCGCGAACTTGGTAAGCCCATAGAGGTTCAGGAAGCATGAAACCTCCGGCTTGCGCATTCTGCCTTTCCCGCCAGTAGGTTCTGCACTGGCGAGGGAGAGGAGTGTCACCCCGAGGATGAGGAAAGCTAGCTTTGAGACCTTCATGATTGGCAGGATATTGGTGCTTGAACTTGGTGGAATGCTGATGTTTGAACCTGATGAGATGCAGATGTTCGAGATCGTTGCTGGATTGATGGCCACGAGAAGAGTCTTATATAAAGGGTGAAGGTTCACGACTAGAGAAGATCAGGTTGACTATCGAGTTGTCTTCGCAAATTCCAAACTCTCTGTGCAGTGGCGGCTTGACCTGCCGAGATGACATCGTGGCTGCTGCACTCTAGAAAAGTATTTACATCGAAGTGGAACCGCACATCCTTCTCATTCTGTTTGCGGCTGAGGCAGAACGGAAAACCAAACAGACTCACTTCTTCTCGCAGCCAATTCTGCCGTACTTGTTCTTGGTAGCCTCCCACCATGCGGCCTCGAGCATCCCCGTGTTGCAGGCCAGGCCGGTCTCGAATTCCCACTCCAGCGTGCCCTTCTCGGTGCCTTCGCGGCAGAACTGCTTGAACAGACCAAAAGACCAGACCCTGCGGGGCGTGTTAGTCGGCAAGCAGGGCGTCAAATAGTTCCCCAACATCTGCAGGACAGAGGAGACAGGAGAGGGAGAGATCTTACTGGCACATCCAGAAGTTCCTCAGTTCCATCCACAGCTTGTGACACACCTTGGGGATATCATCCTCAACATTGTATGCATTGACAATGTACCGATAGTTGACCGGAACCGGCTGGCCGCCGATGTGAATCTCGCCAACTTTCTTCCGATGGCACCAGGGTTGTTGAGTGTCCCGGTTGTTTAGGCCTGCGAGGACGGAGCAGACTGTGCTGGCGATGAGGAGGACTGACAATCTCATCATAGTCAGAGGAAGACTGGGGCGTTCCAAAAGGTTGGCGATGGTCAGAAGCAGAGTTGACCGGAGGCGAGAAAAAGGCATGTGATGAGGACTCTCATCAAGAAGAGCGTACGGTTTTTTGCTTATATCCGCCTATCCTGGTTACACGGATCGTGCGTTCTTGGATGCTTTCGTGCTGGTTCTAAGGGTGACAGTCACACGTAGTTCGACTCGGGCAAACAAGAGAAGAACAAAATGGCAGTGGCGACAACGAGTGTTGTACATATCACGAAAAAGGGTAGTAAATATTTTTCATACTCAGACTTGAGCATTGTGATATCAAGCCTTAGAGTGGAGCGCCGGAAACAACACGACGAAACATCTTCAATGGGTTGAATGACCAAGTCTTCTGCAGTCATAAGGTAGAGAGGCCTACGGGCCTTCTTGGCCATCGGATGAGGCTACACGGGTTACGGACGCTGGATTCCAGACAGCGCGAACATGCGGCGACTGGAAAGAAATTCAAACTCCTGGAAAGGTTGTCATACATCTTTGCATAGTCGAAGCCTCTTGGAAACGACCTGCTCTTGAACTTGAAAGCACTGGAGTTTTCACAATCATCCCGGCAACGACTTGGGCCCTCCTTAATAGCCAGACGATGTCCAACATGGCAAGGTGTCTTAACCCTGAGAATATCCAAGGTATGCTCTACTTCCTATTGGCAGAGAGTCTCGGTTTGTTATTTGGCGTAAACTCCAAGTGCCCGGCCATGGTGAAGCTCGCTGAGCGAGGCTTCCACATCCAAACCAACATGTTGGGTATCCCGTCTGTTGTCGGCTTCTTTTCAGGTCATTGCGGCATTCAGGGCTACGAGGATGCAATTTCGTTATAGTTGTCTTTTACATTGTCGCTTTGTTGCTTCTCTCTTTGAAGGGCTCCCTGAGAAGGAGAACTGCCCGGATCAGAGGTTACATGAAGCAAGGCCTCGGGCTCAAGCCTTTGCTTGGGCTTTGTTCTGGATAATACGTCTTCGTCCACTTAACTCTTCGCCATCGCCCATTTCGACTCATATAATATTCGTACCAGCGACACTTTGTTCGACCGACACTGTTCCAGGTCTGTGAGAAGTAAGTAATAGGTAGTCAGTTGACAACCCCGGATATACGGCAAGCGTGGGAGGTTTCGATGCCCTGGAGTCGGGAGGTGGTGTTCGGGAAGGCGTCGACGGCCCGATGCATGAGACGGCGCTCAAGCTTATCGCCTAAAATTGGACGTAATGCCTATTAGACAGAAGCGAGGCGTGTATTGGTGGTTCTGTGCCTGTCGCCCAAGGGCCTTCCTTGTGCGGGGTAGCTGCTCGACGGTGGGCAGTTTGTGGGGGGCCTATCAGAGCCTGCCCTTCTGGGAACTCGCCCAAGGGCCCGGGTCTTATCAATCATTCCACTTGGCCGCCGGTCCAGGCCCGAGGGCGGCCACCAGCGCTTTTTTTTTTTTTTCTTTCCTCTTTCTCCCGTCTGATTGACGGGCCTGGGCGCCCGGGCGCGGGCGCACACGCTGACTGCCGCTATCTCTGGCAGGTGGTGCTGGGGGACGGGAACTCTGGTCTGGTCTGGGGGGTGGGCGCCACATGACCGTCTTTAGCTGACTTGAGGAATTCAATCTCTTTCCGTCCTTCTCATCAACAACTTCCCCAGGCTTTTGTTTGTTTTGCGTGTCATTGAGAGATTCTGGTTTGAAAGTCCCAGCTCGCCAGGATGCATCTCGTACCAAAAGAGGTCTGTACCCCAACTGTCTCTCGCGCGCTCTCTTACACATCCCTGTCGCCTTGGCGGGCCAGAGCAAACTGAACGGCACGTTAACGGGGGACGTCGTGATTGTAGCTCGATAAGCTCACCATTTCTCAATTGGGCTTCCTGGCCCAGCGGCGCCTTGCCCGGGGCGTCAAGCTTAACCACTCGGAAGCAACGGTACGAAAACCCCTTCAGGCGGTGATATCGCTGCCATCTAATGTCGCGTGCACTAACACCAACCGCAGGCTCTCATCGCGAACAACTTGCAAGAGCTCATCCGCGATGGCAACCATACCGTCGCCGACCTCATGAGCCTGGGTGCCACCATGTTGGGAAGACGTCACGTCCTCCCCGCTGTGTGTAGTACCCTCCATGAGATCCAAGTCGAGGGCACCTTTCCCTCAGGTACCTATCTCGTGACAGTCCACAGTCCCATCTCGACAGACGACGGTGACCTGGCCCGCGCCTTATACGGGAGCTTTCTCCCTATTCCTAGCAACGACCTCTTTGCCTTGCCAGAGGTGACAGTATATGAACCCAAGAAGCAACCCGGCGCTGTGGTTGTCGCCTCAAAACGAGTCACACTCAGCGAAGGCCGCAATCGCATCAGACTCAAGGTGACGAGTAGAGGTGACCGTCCCATCCAAGTCGGCTCACATTACCACTTCATCGAGACGAATCCCCAGCTTGAGTTTGACCGTGAAAAGTCGTATGGCTACCGCCTGGACATCCCAGCCGGCACCTCGGTGCGTTTCGAGCCCGGCGACGTCAAGACTGTGACACTCGTCGAGATTGGAGGACACAAGGTCATCCGCGGCGGCAACAGACTGGCAACAGGAGGCGTCGAGCTTTGGAGGGCAAAGGAGATTGTCGAGAAGCTTCAGCTGGCCGGCTTCGCCCACGCCCCGGAGCCGGAGGCCATCCTCAACTTCACCGAGCTGTACCAGATGGAGCGCTCTGCCTATGCGACCATGTTCGGCCCCACGACGGATGACTTGGTGCGTCTCGGCAGCACCGATCTTTGGATCCGGGTTGAGAAGGACTTTACCGTGTACGGAGACGAGTGCAAGTTCGGCGGTGGTAAGACGCTGAGAGAAGGAATGGGCCAAGCGACGGGCCGGCCGGATTCGGAGTCATTGGACATGGTTGTGACCAACGCGCTCATCGTCGACTGGTCCGGCATTTACAAGGCGGACATCGGTGTCAAGAACGGCATGAT